CAAACAGACAAGGCGTGGTTCAGTTACAATCCATGGAGACAAACGTAATACTTCAGCTCAACAAAGTACTCATCGTCGACAACTTGGGATACAACCTACTAAGCGTAAGCCAACTAATGGCCAAGGGGATTCACCTGGAGTGCGACTCCTTCTCCAACGAGTTCCGGCTTTACCACGGGAAGGGCGGCCTCTTCATCGGTCGTGCCCTCTTGAAGTCCGGCGTCTTCGTGTTGGACTTCGTCCCCGACCGCGGTACTGCCGACAGCGACGGTATCGTATCGTTCGCCGCCTGGACTCACCCGCCGGATCTTGATCCCGACTTCGACAGTGACGGCTTCTGGCACTCCAACACCATACCTGCAGCAGAGAGAACACGAGCATTAGCAGTTATCAGACAAGAAAGACAAGTACCCGCAAGTGTCCCAACAAAACCATCACCTGCAGTATCGGCAGCAGGACCCAGCCGAGTACCACCACCATCAACACGAGGACCGCCAACGGAAGCAGACCAACTTATGCCCGCCACACGAGAAGCTTGTCGAAGTCCCGCCTCGGTCGTCGCGTTCTTCTTCAACGCCGACATCTACCACCGCTCGCCCGGTCACCGTGCTCCCGACGACATCTGGCACCAACGCCTCGGACACCCTGCAAACAGCACAATACTTCAAACAATCCAAGCAGAGGTGTTAGAACGCAACGCCCTTCTGACGACGAGCGGTCAAGAACTTCGACGACCACGCGCACGGTGCTTCACATGCCCCGAAGCAGATCTTCCTCATCAACCTTTTCCATCCCATCACAACCCAAGCGCACCTACTTACGCTCCGATGGAAAAAGTCTACAGCGATATTTTAAACATGCCTCGAGACGACGCCGAAGCCGACTTTAACTACGTCATCACTTTCATCGACGCCGCAACCAGATATGTCTGGCACTTCAATCTCAAAACGCGCGACCAAGCCTTCGAAGCCTTCACAACATGGCTCCCCGTCGCCGAACGAGAGTCAGGACTCAAACTCAAGAGCTTCCAGTCCGACGATGCACTGGAATACCAGTCACAACGCTTCAGGACCTATCTGGCGGAAAGGGGAATCAGACGCCTGGTGTCCCTGCCCTATGCTCACCAACAGCAGGGGGTAGCAGAACGCATGAATCGGACCTTGCAGACGACGATGCGAAAACTGCTTCAGGGGATGCGACTGCCAACCACACTGTGGCCAGACGCGATGACACATGCTGTTCACCTGCACAACCTGCTGTCCTCGTCATCACTTCCAAACAACGCATCACCGCACCTGTTGTGGACAAGAAAAAGGGGCAGCACAAAATTACTCAGAGTCTTTGGCTGCATGGTACAGTACAGACCCCACACAGCCCGAGCAGGACGCTTCACACAACGAGCTCGGTGGGGACTCCACCTCGGCATCGCGAAACATTTTCACGCGTGGAAAATTCTCGACATACAAGACAAAAACACGGTGGCATCACGAGACGTTATCTTCTACGAACGACTGACTCTACAGCATTACCTGGACAACCTTGCCAACACACAAGACCCCACCGACGGCCTCTCGGGACTTCGTTCCTTCGCCGATCGTGCTGCCGAAGCTGACGCAGCAGAAGAAGACGTACCTGGAGCCTCGGAAGCTGCCGGGCCACTCCCATTCTGTTCCGTACCTGTTCCACTCGATGAAGATAATCCCCTCGATAGCAACAACCTCGACACCTTTTACCACTTCGCCGACCAAGGTTACGCTACACCTCACCCCGTCGACACGAATATTTCGGAACGCATCGGCCCCAATTTCTTACCTGACCCCGAAGACGGTGACGAAGCAGCTTATTCCGGGAATGACAATTCCCCTCGACACACACCCACGGGACTCCAGATTCTAGGCCTCTGGGTCTCCGTCCAGCATCCGCCGCCGCCTTCTACGCGTGAGCCTTCAACCTTGTCGCAGGCTCTGGGGGGGGAACATAAGGTAAAATGGAAGGAAGCGATGGAAAAGGAGTTAAAAGCTCTGCAAGACCGAGAAACATGGAAACTGGTACCTGCAACGAGCATCAACGGGAAGAACGTTCTCTCGGGGAAATGGGTGTACCGCATCAAGACCAACTCAGACGGCTCCATCGAACGATTCAAAGCTCGATGGGTCGTACGAGGCTTCGATCAACGATACGGAACCGACTACACAGAAACCTTCGCTCCAGTCTCCCGTCACACCTCATTACGCATCCTACTCGCCGTCGCGGCCACGAAAACACTACCACTACGCCAAATCGATGTCGCGAATGCGTTCCTATACGCACCTGTGGACGCTGAGATCTTCGTCGAACAACCCCACGGATTCATCGACGACCCCACGAAAATATGCCGACTGACAAAATCCCTATACGGGATCAAGCAAGCCCCGCGGCTCTGGCAGCAGCATCTTCACAGCCGTCTCGTAAAAATCGGCTTCCTACAGCTGCCGCATGACCAAGGGATGTACCGACTGCAGAAGGGAAGAGAGTATGTTCTGCTCATCGTCTACGTCGACGACCTGCTCTACATCGGCTCCACTACCGACATCGCCACCTGGTTCGAAGGGGAGCTGAAAGAAGATTTAACTCTCACGGTGTCCGACGAAGTTACGCAGTACCTAGGACTGAACGTCGTCGAAGACGACACGGCGTTCTACCTACACGCTGGAAAGTACTCAAGCACCGTCGCGAAGAAATTCGGTCTAACACCGACTGCAGTCCCAACTCCCTACCGCTACGGGAACAACAGCAGCGCCTCTACAAAACTCCCCGCGAAACAAATCCAGGAGTATCAACAGAAGCTCGGCTGCCTACTATTCGCATCAGTAACCTGCCGACCCGACCTGTCCTATAGTGCGAGTCAGTTGGCGACACATCTGAAGCAGCCGAAACAGGAAGATCTCGAGGAACTCAATCGAGCACTACTCTACTTCGTCTCCACGCCGACGATCGGGCTCACCTACAGCAAGGCAACAACACCGTCCGTACGACTACTCGGATACGTCGACGCCGACCACGCGGGAGACAGCGAAAATCGACGGTCTAGGACGGGCTACATCTACCGACTAGAACCTATCGGAACTATCTCCTGGCAGTCGAGCAAACAGGAGTTAATCGCACTATCCTCGGCCGAAGCAGAGTATATCGCCCTTTGTACTGCGACCAAGGAAGGACTCTATCTACGAGAGTTACTCGAGGAAGCGAAGATTGCGACCCTGCCCGCCTTCTCACTCCTCTGCGACAACCAATCTGCGATCAAAATCGCAAACAAGGACGGCTTCGCCAACCGAACCAAGCACATCGCCCTGCGGTACTTCTTCGTCAAAGATGAAATCGCGAAGGGGAGACTTCAACTCAGTTACTGCCCGACGACAGAAATGGCCGCAGACTACCTGACGAAGAAATTGGCGAAAGCAAAATTCGACTACTGCATGCTCCTGACCGGGCAAACAAACGTCACCGGACCCGAACATGACAGCACTCCAGAAACGAAGGGGAGTGTTGGAAATATCTCAAAGAACTTAAGCGTTTCTGAAGTGTAACACTACACTCGAGGAAGACTACAGGGGAGCACGCGAGTCAACGGAGGTTACACGAGGGGGCGGACAAAGAATGCGAAAAGACCCGAAAGGTCGCAACTGGAGGTTGCGACTGACCGTTACAGCATCACGGATGGTAACCGAAGCGGCAATCGAGTCGCTATGCGACTCGATAAACCGTTCCTGTAACTGTACTCTGCAACTGCTTTCTTATCTTCTATATATTGCTGTATGCTTGTTTCTTTAATCAATCACTTGTTCTCACATACTAGTACAAGGGTTCAACTGCCTCAACTTCCGCTGCACTACTCCAAGTCTCAAGTCTCTACAGCTGGGACTTAGTCTCTGCAAAAGATCCTAAGGGCTTTTTCAGCCCAACAGGTTTGGTATACCTGGACAAAGGGGCTGTTCAGGGTTCCGCGGGGGAGTTATTTGGCGAGTGTAGTGAGGTTGAAGAAATGTTTGGCGAAGTGACGAATATCAGCAATTCGCGTGAGGCGAATCCTCATTGGTCCGTTTCAACAGTTTCTTGCGACACTTTTCCAGCTCACCAATTTCGAGGGCTATCAAACCTAGATTCGGTGGTCGATTCTAGCAACTTGGAATTCTGGCTTTTAGACACCACCTTAAGAAGAACATTATGGGCATGATATGATGAACTGCAAATTTTACCCCCCAAATTCGTAGGCATGCGGGTACTGCATGCGAAGCCAAACTGGTCTACACGATTAGGCAAGGATGTTTGCTAGGTTCGAGAACTGGGCCCTCCAACTCGTTCTATCGAGGATGTTGGAACAGTGGTCGTCGGTGGCCGACAAGCCGAGAAAGATCGTGGTGAATCGTCCACCACAGCAAGTTCTTCGCGAGTAGTCTTGCACTGGTTACAACTGGATAGGTTGCTCCGCAGCCCAAAAAGTTTCCGCGTGCGATATTTACCAGGCCGCGTCTCTGTGGACAAGCTGAACGAAAGGATGACAAATTATAAACGAAAGAGATTGGTTGCGACGAGTAACGAGTCATCAACAGCTCGCGCACAGCATCAGACTGGAGAGCTGACCCCGTGCGACTCCGGAAGAGGGTGGACGGTGAGAGGCGGTCAGGCAGAAGTTCCGAAAGAAGCAGCAGCTGGCAGGCAACACCCACAACTCGGGCAGGCGGCGTCACGCTTTTTCTCACATTCCCGCCTTTTCAAAAACCCCGCTAGCTTTCCGCCGAACCACAAACCCAGCCAAATTTATCCCTGCCATGCCAGGCCCGCTGTTGACGAGCACCGGTTGTCAGCAGACATCTGCGTGTGGCCTAGAGAGCACCGAACCGAACCTCCACCATCACCCAAAACCAATCCCGAGGTGAGGGGAAGAGCCTAGTAGCCGTTGGTTGGTTGGTTGTGAATTGGGATATGCTGCCCTGCCTGCACACTTCTCATCACTTGACAATCGCACACCACAGCTCAGTTCACTCGTGTCTCTCAGGTTTCTCTTTCAGCTTTCAGCTCAGGCCCGAGCAGCAGGTGGTTCTTCTCCTGTGTAGTCTTGCAGACGATAGCAGGAATTCGAGTCGAAGGACCTTCAGCCTTTTCCGTTAAGTTTGCTTGAGCAGCGAACTAATTGAAGGCCATCGATATTGCAGTACTGAGGCTCTCCCGCTATATTTCTTACGTCCGGCCGTACTCAACGAACTTCTCCGCTTGACCATGATGGCTTCACCGAGTTTCGCCCGAAGCTGCCTACTTTTGTACTTTCTGGTGGCGGCATCTCGTAAGTGATATTCCCTGTCAGGGTGCCTCGTATCCTCCCGTTCGTGTCACCTCTATGCAGCTCTTTCACCCCATTAACATTTATGTGCTAGTGTAATAAAGTCGACGCCTTTACGGTCTGACGAATGGCATTCCTCAAGGTGTTACTTGCGCTCGAAACCAGTAGTTTTTCCATGTTCCCCGCATCTCTTTTGCTATATCGATTCACTCGTCTGGTGTTCGGTGTGGTCTCAAGATACCGTCGAGCTTCCGCCTCCGACTGTTATCGGTACCGACTTTTAAGCCTCACGTTCTCGCTTCCTGTCTTTTCCCATCGCATCGCCTGGTCCCTCCTCTTTTCTATTCTCTTGGGTCCTGCAGCCTTTGTCGTCCGATCCGCAGACGTGACGATAAGGAGCGTGACACTCAACAGAGCCTTCCTGACGGAGACAACGTACATCCAGTGCGGGGTCGACAGCAAGCGGATCACGTTGCCGGGCGTGAAGGAGGTTGACGCCACCGTTACGTACAGCGGCCAGGAGACATGGCAGGTGAGCGAAACGACGGTGAAAACTGGCAAAGGCGCGGCGTGGCTTGCGACGGACCTGAGAGTTGTTCGCTTTCAACTAAATTCACATTCACGTTGACGGACCCGAGAGTTTCTTCGCTCCCGTGTCGCATTATCGCTGTGTCTCGGTGGTATCTATCTAGCGTGTCACAATCACATGAATGAAGGCAAAAGCCTATCTTTGCACATGTCCTACCAGCTGATCATCGTTTACCTCCACCTCCCCTCTTTTCCACCAACGTCCGTCCCGCTAATTTCTCCGACCCTCTCGTTTTCCCACACACGTGCTCACACTCACGCTTTCCTCTCTCGCCATCTTAACCCGCCCCTGTCATGCCAGCCCGTGCTGACGCTGAATCCAGGAGAGTGCAGGAGGTGTGGCGTGTATCAGATAAAAGCTATTGTGGGCATCTCCATCCCCACGGCGTCATGGACCACCTGCTATGACAACTTCACGACTGTCAACCCCAACCCCCCTAAGGGCTCCCGGCTGCAAGCAGTGCGGCCTAGCACGGGGTTTGTGACCTTCAACAGCTCCACAGAGATGATTGCCGTGCTCGCTTGCCCTGACTGCAACCAGCCTTCGCCTCCTCCGGCGGCTGATACACCCGCCGCTCCTGCTGCCCCTGCGACTGGCAGCAGCGCCACAGATTTCTCCTCTTCCTCCTCCGCCGCTCCTTCCACCGCATCTGGTGTGCCCAGCAATGTCACCTCGTGGATGGCTGACGCGCCTACTACGGAGGAGGGCAGTTATGACGTAACCATGTACGTGGCGATTGGAGCGACGCTGCTGTCAGTGGGCGTGGTTCTGTTTGTGGCGATCATTGTGTTCTACTTCTGGCGCAGGGCGAAGGTGGCTCAGAGGGAGGCGGACATGTACCGGGACCAGGCAGAGAAGAGCAGCCTGGAGAGGGCTGCCGGGGATGAGGAGGGGCTCCCTGTCTCTGGGGAGGCTAGGGTATGAGGGAGATGGGCGAGTGAGGAACAGTGGCAGGGGTACCCTGAGGGGATACTTTGCAGCATTGTTGCCTGTCCAGCTCTAGACAATTTCTCGTTGGCCCATAGTTACCGCTTCCACTTTGTTAATGGTTCTCTGCTTATGGCAGAAGCCTGTGTGTCTGCCAACTGCTTTTGGATGCTACATAACCCAGTTTCCCCCATATTGAGAGGGAGCTTTCTACTGTCTTTGATCTTGCCTGCTGCAACCTAAGTCAGGCAGCCATTTCCAGATGGCTGAAATGACCAACCTCTGATAATAAACAGCAAAAAGCCATGAGAGAGATTCAGGGAAGATGATGGAGCACTAAAGGACATGCAACTCTAGTGTCATACAATACTACTACAGTACCAAAAAGGCTCAGAACGATAAGGGCTGTCAGTCGGCGGTCAGGGGGGTCTTGTGCAGCATGCAATCCACGGTAGGCTGGGTTGTTGTGAGGACCATAATCAGGTGGGCAGTAAATGGCAGCGTTGGGACCGGCCTTTACGGTGGGAGGCGAATCCTAGAGTCATGTCACAAATGGCATGGCATTGGATGGGGTACAGGAAATCAGGAGCCTGTAACTTGGAACCATGTGGGTACAGCCAGGTTATTCTTCAAGCATCCACTGCAGAAGCGACGGGGAAGAGACTTCCAGCAGTAGCGGCTACATCAGAGCCATTCTTGAGCTCTCCTCCCTCTGCCCCCCCCCCTTTCACCGTGTGCCCCTGAGATCCACCACGACCACACTGATGTTGTCCCCACTGCCGCGCACCAGAGCCAGCTTTGTCAGCACCGCAGCAGCCAGGGCAGCCGGGCTCATCTCCTCCTCTCCCTGGGCGCCAGCAGCCGCAAGAGTCTCCGCAGCAGCAGCAGCCGTCTCGTCCCCAGCTGCGGGCGCCTCCGGAGCAGCTCCGGTCGAGCCTGAGCCTCCCGAGCCTCCGCGTTGGGCGAGGCAGCGGCGGGCGATGTCGACGGCAGCCTCGTTGGAGATGACGTCCCACAGCCCGTCCGAGGCCAACACCACGAGCTCGTCGTCGGGGTGCCGCTGCGTCAACGTCACCTCGGGCTCCGGAATCACGTACGGCTTCAGATAGCGATCGCCTGGGGAGGGGGAGGAAAAGGGGGGGGGGTTTGAGGGGAGCGAGAATAGGTGTCGAGGGGCGGGTATCAATATGGATGTGGCACCATGTTTGAATACGTGTCACAATGTCTGAGAAGCTCAATGTGCTGGAGAAGCATTCATTCTCAGGATTCAACGCCCACACAGAAGAACGTGGGTGCTGATTGCAGAGGCACATCGTTGCCAAAGGTGACTGAGGACACAATCACCTATGGCGCACGCATGACATGTGAAAGGGCACGCACCGATAGCACGTGACATGGCGAGCACTCCCAGCACTCGGTAGCCATTCCAGAAGATGACTCGCCCGCCTGCCTTCTCCACCCGCTTCATCTCGTCCTCCCGCTCAGGCTGGCAGACACACGCACACAGACAGAAGAGGAGAGGTGTGGGGGAGGACGGGGCGGGGAGGGGGGTGTGGGGGTGGGGAAACGGGAGTATGGTCATGGCAATGCGCACTCTTCTCAACACAAGTCACATGGGATCTCGTGTCTCGCCTGCATGGCTGAATCACCACAGCCTGATACAGAAACCCTCCGGGTGGGTCTACTCTAGTGCGTGGGACTACCCTCCGGGTGTGTGGCTTCCTCGCAGGAGTCGAACACTCCATGCCCCTAGCACCCCACTCCCCCCCACCCTCCCGGTGCGCGCGTCTCACCTTGTGGTCCTTGGAGAGCGGCACAGCCTTGCCCCCCCGGCACAGCACAGCCCTGGAGTCCCCGCAGTTGCCCACCACCAGGTGGTGCGCCGTCACCACCAGCACCACCGACGTCGACCCCACCGTCTCCGCTGCCAGGGGCTCGTGCACGCACTCCGCCACCATGCCCCCCCCCTCCCCGCCCGCCCCCCCCTCGCCTGCGTCAGCTGAGGCGCCGTGGCAGTGGGAGCGGCGCAGGAAGCAGTGCCCGCTGATCTCCGCGTCCATGCGCGCGAACGACTGCACCATGGCGCGCTGCCAGTGCGCCTGCAGCACCGGGTCCGCCTTCTGCGCGCCCTCAGCGCCCCCCTCCGCGCCTGTGGCGGCGGCAGCAGAAGGAGCGGGGTCGGGCGTGGCGGGGGGGAGGGGCTCGATGCCTGAGAGCGTGATGGAGAGCTCCTCCGCCAGCGCGTTGGACATGTGCGCCGAGAGGAAATTCGCCGCCTGGCGGGGGAAGGGGGGTAGGGGGGGGAGTGGGAGAGGGGGGGGGGCGGGAGATGAGGGGGAGGGAGAGAGGAGGGGGGGAAGGGGCGGGAGAGAAGGGGGGGAAGGGGCGGGAGAGAAGGGGGGGCGGGGATGGGTGGAACGGTTGAACATGTTATCTGGGTGGGCAGGGCATGGTGACTGGAGCGGTGGCGACGGAGTGAAAGATGGAAGGCGAGGTGAGCGCACAACGACACGTGCGCTTGCTGCAAGGACACACATGCGCCTTCAGCCCGTAACGCAGCACCCACCGACCGCCCGCGTTCATTTCCCGCGGCCCTCCACGTGCCTTCTGAGTCGACTAGCCAACCACACCCCCTCCCTAGCCCCCTATCTCCCCCCCCCTCCTCCCCCCCGACCCCTTCCCCGACCCCTTTCCCCCCCCCCCCCCTGCGGCGCTGTGCGCGCACCTGGCTGCCGCCATGGCCGTCGAACACGGCGAACATGTGCAGCTGGCACTGCGGGTCGTCCGCACCCTGCCCTCCGCTCGCCTCACCCCCCCCGAGCGAGCACCCCGCGCGGCTGGCGCACGGCACGAGCGCGAACGCGGGGACCATCGCCACGGCGTCCTCCATCTCCCGCCGCCGCCCGCACACCGACAGCACCCCGTTCCCGGGGCACTCGTCCGCCGCCGCGCCCTTGATCCTCCCCCCGCTGCACGTGCTGGGCGGAATCACGCGCGGAGGCAGCGGCGCGAACGCCGTGGCGTCCGCCGCTGCGCCGCCCGCGCCCGGGACTCCGTCCATTCCCAGGTGTTGGAGCTTCGTCTCCTCCTGCAGCAGGCTCGCCGCCACCGAGATCGCCGCGTCCACCTCGGCGTCGTTCCCGTCGCCGCTGCTGTCCGTCGTGCCGCTCGAGCTCGTCTCTGATGACAAGTCGCTGCTCGAGTCCTCGTCCGCTCCCCCGTCCTCCGCCCCCCCGCCGCCGCCGCCTCCCCCGTCCCCCCGCTGCCCGTTCACCCCCCGCGGAGACTTCGACCCGGACGAGCCCTCGGCGGACGCGGAGTCTTCCCCCTTGCCCTTGCGCGGGCGGCGGAACTGGCTGCGGCGGAACTTGGTGCGGAGGGCGGTGTAGGCCGCGGCGGTGATGGGGTCGGCGGAGGGGTGGGAGTTGGCGTGGGGAGGGGAGAGGGAGGAGGGGGAGAGCGGGAAGGAGGAGGAGAGGGAGGAGTTGGTGCTGGAGTCGTCGCTGGTGTCGCGCTTCTGCGGCAGCAGACCCACGCCCAGGTGCTTGCGACACACGATCAAACCGCTGATGGCCATGGCGGAAGCAGCACGGTGGTAGGGGAGGGGGGATAGGGAGGGGGGGGAGGCGGGGGGTGGAGGGGGAAGGGTGAAGAGGAGGAAGAAGGAAACAAGAAAATGAAAGAAAAGAAAGCGCCGAGGAAAGGAAGAATGAAAGAATTGTGGAGAGGGGAGGTATGGCGTACGGAAAACTATGGCGTGAGTCGACAGCAAGAGCTAACGGTATCGTGACATGACGTGGACCACGAGACAGGAAGAAGTGACGTCAGCTCTTGTAGATTGCATCGCAAAGAGAAGTCAGTACTGAACTCTGCTACAAAACAAGCTTCCCATATTTTTTTACACCTTCTCATCACCTCGTGCGGTGAAAAAAGTCGCGGACCGCAGCAAACGACTGCCGAACCAACAAGCGAGAGAGCATGGTAACGACTTAACGACCGCACGAGCATTCCTTAAAGAAAGATCACGAGAACCTGTGCTTACCTTGGGGTGGTCGCCTTCTTGCGACGAAGGTCCATACGACGCTGCCTCGCTGCTGCCGCGCTCGGATCGAATTCACTGTCGGCCATGGCGCCCTTACCGCTTCAGTCAACGTCGGGTGTCCTCGTCTTTGGAGATCGCGAATGGGGAAACCCAGGTTTTTTAAGCTACAAGATTGATCTTTGTCCTACAACCAATCGTCAGTGTCAACCCGGTTGAGGGGCGTTCAGAAATGGGAGTAATGGCGAGCACCAAAACATGAGGGCGTGCACTAACGGCCTACAGGAAAACAAGCCTATAAACTAACTACAACCAAAAAAAAAAAAAAAAAAAAACGGGAAAAGTGAAACGCCTCCACAATTAGCACATTCCCCTGAAAGCTTGACGGCTTTCAACTCCTAAAGATCCAGCTTCCTTCAGAGTCCTGCAGAGCACACTGACCAGATCGAGTCGAGAGTCTCGATTTGAAGAAAGAGATTACTGGAGAGGAGTCATGAGGCACACGAGTAACAACACTCACTCACAGGTCACACTCGCACACTGAAGGCAAGGCGGTGGTGGTAGGTGCGCTTGACACTTCGAGTGACTGTACCGTACCATACCCACAGCAAGCACCTCCTCGCATCTCCCGAAGCAGCTAACGTTCTGGTCTGGTTGGGGCACGTCTCGCTTTCCGTACCTGTTGAGAGAGGCCCGGAATCCCCTATTGCTGATCTAGTGAATGTGGTCATGTCGGCGGAGGTGGCGCGCGGAAGACAGGGCGCGCGGAGAAAAGGAGCTTTGGTCCTTCCGCGGTAGGCTTTTGTTCCGGCCAGGCGGACATGCTCCGAACGACAACCACCATTCATACTGTACCATCAGTTCAGCGCCCCATGTCAGCCATACCTGCGCAACGAACCAGAACATATGCCAGGTCAGAGACGGTCGCGCGTCCGAACCGATGACCTTTTGCTCGTGTGAGGTCACCCCCCCACGAGCACTGATTGGTTCGACCATACTACCCCCGCTTGAGTCACAACAATACAAGCCCCTGTGCAGTCAATTGAGGGAAATGATCAAAAAGGGTCCTCGCTTTGCCAGAGGCGTGAGCAAAAAAGGTCCGGCTATTTTCGGGTTTTTTTGTTAACGGTAACCCTTACTGGCGTTTTAATCTCAGGGGTACCGTTTTGCCCTATTACAGAAGGGTTTTTCACCATTCCAATCCGTGGGGGGCAATTTTTTGTTCTTCTAGGTTAGTCCGCTCCACAGCGAACCACGCATCACAATCACATTGCTCCGTCACTGTAGCCTTTACAGGTCATATTCCCTGAGCACCCGGGGGGCGACGCGGGAGATTTCTCTTTTAACGAATACTGGCCGTACGGTAGGGGCAACATGGACTATGGGGTTTCCCCAGGAAATGAGGCATTGTTTTTTTGTGTACTGTGCATGGGCGACTTGACTGGCTTATGCAGCGACTGAGTAAACATCGCCATGTCGCAAGCCTCTCCACCTGTGTATCAACTCCGCGTTTCAAGAGAATGTCAGATTCCTTGGCGTGCTCCTTGGCGCGTTCCTATTGGCTGTGGACAGAAGGATTTTCCTGGGGCAACGCCGACGGATTCCGTTGGCGTTACAGACGTAATTCTACTGGATCGTCAGCGAGATTGTCGTATCTTGCGCATCATGTGGATTTCTGCCTCGACATTGGTTGGCGAGCCTGACACATCTGGATTTTTAGAGGCTCGCCGACCACTAGGTGTGGTCGCTCTGAAAACACAAGAGCAAACTGATTGGACGGCCTTGGATCAGTCAAATTGACTGTCCAATTTACTGTTTAATTGAGACGGGTACACTTTGCGTACAAGGAGTGACCCTTAAGAATAAAATGCCTATGGAATACTCATGGGCGTAAAAGGGGGTCGTCTACCAAGCATATAACATGTACTTGGCAAATTCATCACACCCCTCCTTGTCTTTTTGTTCCGAAGCCATCTTGGAAGATGGGTGGCTCTACAAAGAACTGTTATAGCTGTACTGTTGCGCCACATCTTCTCGCCAACATGCCAGCATGCGTGCAAATTTTACCAATGGTGGCAGCCTGGAGATTCTATAAGGATAAAAAAATATACACACAAAAAAGATATATATTATGGTTGACAAGACACCCAGCACTAAGGAGTGTATGTACGCGATGCTGTCCTCCTAATTATTTTCTTAAGTTTGAAAAGGAAATGATACATTACGAATGGCCTAGTAGAACCCCTCCGTTAAGTTATCTTGGCGAAAGGGAATGCGGAAATGTGTTTTCTAAACTACGGGCAATTTGATGAAACATTTTGAACTAATCCTGTATGTATCAGCCGGAGTATATCAGGAGGTAGAATTCGCAGAGGTGCTGGCACGTTGGCCGGAAGATGTGGCGCAACAGTACCGCTGTAATAATTCTCTGTAAGCCACCCATCTTCCTGGATGGCTTCAGAACAAAAAGACAAGGAGGGGTGTGGCGAATTTGCCAAGTAAAAGCTATAGTGACGGAGCAACGAGATTGTGACGTGTGGTTCGCTGTGGAGCAGACTAACCTCAAAGAACATAAAATTGCCCCTCAGGGGTTGGAACGATGAGAAACTCTTCAGTGATAGGGCTAAATGATACCCCTGATATTAAAACGCAGCAAGGGTTACCGTTAACATAAAACCTCGCTATTTTCTGCTCCAAGCACCTCGCTTCTAAACCTGAAATACACTTCTTTCTTTGTTTAGTAATTTAAATATTTACGAGATGTTTGCGGTACCATTCAGCATTTCTCAATATGAAAAAAAATCCATTAGGGACGGAATTCCGTTCCGGATGGCATTAACCCTAAATACGCAAACCTTTTGTGAGTTTAGGATTGATGCCATCCCGAATCGCATGCGGTGCCCCTATGGATTTTAGTTTTTTTTTTTTTGCCCTACTACAGTTCATTGAATTCGCATAAAGGTTCCACCGCATGGTTACGACACGAAGCGCCCCCATGAACCTGCAAATTTGTGACCATGTGATGTGTGCATATTGTATGACGAATAACGTGTAGCACAGGCTCGGAGACGAGGTCTCGGTGCAAAAAGCTGTCGGAACCTTTTTGCTCACTCCTTTAGCGAAGGGAGGACCCTTTTTAGTCATTTTCCGTCAATTGAGGGAAATGATCAGAAAGGGTCCTCGCTCCGCCAGAGGTGTGAGCAAAAAGGTTCCGTCTACCTCCGAACCTGTAATGTACTGAGTTTGCTCTTTAATTTTTTTTTTAATCTTTACAAAAAGACAAAAAAAACTCCATTGGGGACCGAATTCCGTTCGGGATGGTATCAACCCTAAACACGCTGCCTTTTTGCGATTTTAGGGTTGATGCCACCTCGAGTCGCATGCGAGGGCCCTACGGGTTTTAGTTTTTGTACGTGCCCTAAAGCACTGTTCTGTATAATTTTCCACGTCATAGGGCTACAATATGACGCGCCCCCACAAAATACGATGTGTTGCGACCCTATAATATGTGCGTGTTGTACAACGAGTTTTATGTATTAGAGGTTCGGAGACAATGTCTCGGGGCAGAAAGCTGCCGGACCTTTTCTGCTCACGCCTCTGGCGGAGGGAGGACCCTTTTTATAATTTCCTGTCTATCGTTGAGGGGTTTTTAGGTTTGCGGTAACCCTTACTAACGTTTTACTCTCTCGGATCACGTTTAGCCCCTATTACGGAAGAATTTGACGCCGCTCAAACCCCCTGGGGGCAGTTTTTTGTTCTTTGAGGTTAGCTCGCTCCACATCAAACCACGTGTAGCAATCTCCTCAATCTTAGGCAGAGGGCAGAAACAATCAAACCCTTAGGGGCCCGGCATGCCATTCTGGATGGCATCAACCCTAAACTCGCAAAAGGGCCGCGAATTTAGGGCTGATGCCATCCAGAATGGCATACTCGCCCCTATGGGTTTTAGTTTTTTCCTTGCCAGCTAACCTGCCCGAATATTGTCGTCATTTTCAGTACCGCTACAGATCCCACAATATCGCAGGAACCATAGAGTTCAGTAGCCCCACAGTTACGGAGCAAGGAGATTGTGACGAGTGGTTTTCTGTGGTGCGAAATAACCTTAAAGAACAAAAAAACTGGCCCGGTGAGGTTGGAACAGCGGGAAACCCTTCCATAAAAAGGCTGAGTGTTGCTCAAAAAAGTAAAACGCCAGTAAGGGTTACCGCTAACCTAAAAGCCCATCGTAGAGAGTGTTTGGGGGAGACTTCACAGCACGAACCTCGTGACAGAGCAGCACATGAGTACTTTTTCGTGGACTTGATTTTTACTCAACGGCGAAGACTTCGAGGAGGCAGGCGGAGCCAGGACAAACTGATGTTACGGGCAGCATGGGAATGTATATGATGGTACTTTTCATTGCGCCATCATGAGGAATGCCTCACGGGCAACGACTCGCCGGGCCACAAAATTTCGACGTTTGCCTGCCCAGCCATAGTCCGCCAGCTGGGCAGCGAAGCGAGTGTTCGTTCCTTCTTGTGCTCCAAGCGAGGCCGAAGCTGCTGCCGCGGCTGCTGCGGTTCTTGTGTCTCTGGGCAGGCTGGCCAGGCCACTAAGCACCACCTGCTCACCGACGTATCAGCTTCTGTCCCAAGCTTTCGATGGCTCGCGACGAGGTTCTCGAGGATGCTTTCAACTCATCAGGGCTCGTGCTTCTTAGCCCCATACATGAATCAACATTCGTTCCACTTATCTCCGTACAACGAGACGACGCCATTGTACGTACCTTGTGTGGCGGACGTTCAAGAAGTGCGAGACGAGATTGCGGGGAGGAATCCTGGCTTCATATGCATAGCATACACGTCCCGATGGATAGTTACTTCTTTCACCAGTTCGCGCTCGGTAGAAACGGCAACGCCATTACGTAAATTAGTAATCACTGCCGTCTACCTATTCTTAGACATCACAGGCACAAGCGCAACAGCGGGACGCACGCAACAGCGGGACGCACGCAACTGAAAGTTCTGCTTCGTCGAGTCCTGGGCCGACTTTGCTACAGTGTCACCACCGCTGGTCACTATGGTGGCGGCCGCTCCCCTCTGTCCCTGCACCGGCGATCGGCGTGTCGTGGTGTCAAGGGATTCTGGCAGAGCAGCGGCGGCGGCTCTTCGTTGCTTCGTTCTGCTCCTGCTCTCGGCTGACTCCTTGCGCGTCATGCGGCCCGTTAGAGCAGGTTAGTATGCGACACTGGCTGTGGTGCTACGGATGCTATTGTTGTGCAGGTGAGTGGCCCATACATGGCAGAAAATAATCGAATTCGTGTGGACGTCCTCGTTTCCTCAGCCCATTGTACTTTAGGGTCTTACGGAAACGACGACTACTAAGCGTATTGGCAAGCGTTGACGTGTTGCTGATTCAGCGCATGTCTTAACCGACCGCAGTACCACTTGCCTGTGCGTCGCAGGCGACGCTATCGGAGAGCCTCTGCAGGTGAAGGAAGGAGCAGCAGGGGCAGGAGGCGGAGCAGCGTCAGGCGCGGACATGGAGGTTGCGGGTGGGGAAGGCGCGGATGCGAGTGGGCGGAGCAAGCGGGGGGAGTGGACGAGAGAGCCGCTGCCGGCGATGGCGAATGTATTTCCGCACGCTCTTGACAACCCGGAGGAAGTCGGGCCCTACGTGCCCATCGAATTCAGGTGCCCCTCAACTGCCTGTTGCCATGCCGCGTCACACTTTTGCGACTTGTCGAGAAGCAGGAACTGATAACAATGTCTTTGAGATTGGAACAATTCCCCCGCCCATTTTACCTCCTCCTTCCGTCGTCCGTCGTCCGTCTCACACATCACGGTTCTCCCCCACTCCTGCCCACCCCCCCGTCCGCTCCCCTGGCGCGCGGCGGTAGGAACGACAAGGAGCGCGTGAGCCTGAAGAGCCAGCCGCTGGGCATGCACATCAGCAGCGACGACCAGACGCGCGTGTGGCTCAACTACTTTCAAGGGGATACACTTGTAGGGCCCAAGCTCAGCTGCATGGGCATCCCCTGCCCGCACCTCTTCAAGTGCAAGGACGGGTACCCAGACATCTGGGCGTGCTGGAATTCTGAGCTGGTGGATACAGAGATGTTCACCACCCGCGCTCCTCTGAACTGCCCGAACCGGGCAGCGGAGGGGGAAATAGTGGGGGATGAGGAGGGGGATTATGACGCGTCGTGCAGCCACCGGGCGGACCATGGGCTGCGCATGCCATGGGCGCTGCAGAACTTCCAGTTCGCAAATGTGTACATCACGCACGATGGCTTCCTCTTCAATGCTACCCATCAGTTTGTGCGCGGTGGCTGCCATCAAATCGGCAAGGTGAGCCGCGGTGCTGGGGGGTGCTGCCGTGCCTCTCTCTTCCTCTCATTCCTCTCCTTCCTCTCGTGGCTTTTTGCTCCCACTTCCCTCCCCCCCTCCCCGCCCTCTCCCCTCGTAATTCCTCCCGCCCTCTCTCCTCTGCTCACCAGCCCCGTGCCTCCACAGCCACCCCATCCGAGCCCTACCACTGCATCTCCACCCTGATATGCACTCTCCATGCGCTTCCTCCAACCCTACACACCACCCCCCCCCTCCCCCCCCTTTCACCCTCCACTCCCCTCCACCCCAGTACACCTTCTCCCCAGCGGCCCCAGTGCACGCGCTGCACGGCGTATGGAGCTGGGCGTACGTGGTGGGCGGCAACTTCTACCACGTGCTCGTGGAGTCGCTGCCCTGCTTCGTCGTCGCCGCGCGCTTCCTCAAGAACTACAAGCAGTACCCCATCCTCGCCACCGGCCATCAGGTGAGGGGGGGGGAGGGGGAGGGAGTGGGATGGGGAGGGATGTGGGCAGGTTCGGCAGTGGCGGGAGCGAGGGACGGAGCGAGGTGGTGCTTTGGGCAAGGGGGTATGCACGAAGCTGAGAGGTGGCGTCAGAGTTGCCGCTTGCTTACCACCATGCAGTGCGTGTGCTTCTCTCCCATACCTTCCATTCTCATGCTTCTCTGCTGCCAATCGCATCACGCCACTGCCTTGGGGTTCCGTCTCTGTCCCGGTCGCTTCTCTCATAACCTCACCTAACATCACTCCCTTCTGCCTCTAGAGCAAGCTCGCAAGCACCCAGAGCAAGGTTGCAAGCACCTAGAGCAAGGTCGCAAGTGCCTAGAGCAAGGTCGCAAGCACCCAGAGCAAGGTCGCAAGCACCTAGAGCAAGGTCGCAAGCACCTAGAGCAAGGTCGCAAGCGCCCAGAGCAAGGTCGCAAGCACCCAGAGCAAGGTCGCAAGCGCCCAGAGCAAGGTCGCAAGCACCCAGAGCAAGGTCGCAAGCGCCTAGAGCAAGGTCGCAAGCGCCTAGATCTCTCCACTGCCTTGGGGTTCCCTCTCCGTCCCAGTCACTTGCCTCTTCAACCTTACCTTACATCACTCCCTTTTGCCTCTCCCCTTCCCGTCTCTCCCTTCCGTCTCCTCCTCCCCCGTCACCTGCGTGTGCATGGTGGGTGCGGGCGGCATCAGTGGAGGGCGTACGACCGCATGGGAGCGGCCATCACGGGCATTCCGCGTTCCAGCATGCGGGCCCTTGCCACATTCCCAGGGGAGGTCTACCATGCAGCCCGCGTGCACCAGGTCAGATTCGATGTTATGCTTTGCCTCCACCTTTCCACACCCCACACCTCTCGCACCGTAATCTTCCTTTCACCTCCCTCCCATCAACCCCCCTCACTGGCAATCCCCCACCCCCTCCCTCCAACCCATACTATCTCTCCTGCTCTGCCCTTCCGTCCGCTGCCCTTCCCCCGTGCGCCAGCCCATGTACCAGCAGTGTGGCACGCCCAGCCGGGCTCTCTGGCACACCATCCGCTCGCGCCACTTCCTTCGTCCCGACGGGCTGCCTATCTTCAACCCCGACTGGACCTACCGCGAATTGCCGCCGCTCTCTGACGCAGAGATGGCTCTCCTCCCCGCTGACTGGGTGGTGGTGCTGGCCAAGCGCCCGGGCAGGAAGCGCGCCATCATCAACTTTGCAGAGCTGGAGAGTGAAGTCAGGAGGATATTCCCCGACCGGGTGGTGACGTTCAATGGCTCCTTGGGCATACTGGAAGGTGAGGGCGCTCTGCTCGGCATTCATTGCATCCTCCCAGATAGCATGCTCATTCTGATGCTTTGGCCTGTTGCGTTGGAAGTCACCACTCCTTCCACACCCTTGGATACTTTTCTTGAATCGATCCGCCGCCATTTGCTTTCTCTCTGTGTTTACCTCTCAATGGTTGTGTTTCTCTCTCTCCATCAGCGCGCGATCTGTTTCGCCGGACGCGGCTGTACATAGGCGGTCATGGAGCAGCGCTAGCAAACATGGTCTTTATGCCTGCGCAGGCAACAGTGTTGGAGATCCGTCCGAATGCCTGTGCCAACACCTGCTTCCATCAGCTCTCTTATGCCTGCGCCATACGCTACCACTTGGTGTTGAGCGATGGAACATGCTTTTCTCCTGTAGAGGCGCATGTGAACGAAACAGCTGCAGCGCTTGAACGCATTGCTGCCGAATTTGCTGAAGGTATCAATTTGGTGAAGTGATAGCCTTGATTGATAAACTCGTATAAAAAAATATTTCATTCCTCAGGCAGTGGGCATGTGATTTGAATTTGATGAAGCCCAATATCGAAGTAGACTGAATTCAACGTTTTTGCTGGCGGTTCCGTCCGTATTGACTGCCCCAGGCCACTGTGCCGGAGTTCCTGACTGACCTGGCAGCTGCAACTTTTCAATCGGTGTTCCCATGGCTCCAACATTGCCCGGAGCTCCCAAATCTCGGGTACAGGGCGTTACGGATTGGCCCGCAAGTCAAATCCTTTCCACGTAGTTTTGATCGCTTTTCCACGTCGGCCTCGTTTGCCGCGAAGGAGATTTCGTGCGAACCCACATCATCAAGCCCAACGTCAGCAGCAGCAGCAACGACCAGGGCGGGTGTGAGCTGGACCCGTCAGACTAATCCCTGCTCGCCACCCTAGCGTCGCCTTCCATTACCAAACCTGCCTTTCACCCCGATCTCGTCCGTCACCGCACCAGCAGTCAGGCTCGGGTGCTTGTCGGTTTTGATTTTCCCTCTGACAAATTCACTGGGGCTGCAAACAATCTCCGCATTCTTTTCTTGTGTCCCTACAGCTTTTCTTCTGTCGCTGCAGCAGAGCAGTTTTTCCCGCATCCATTATCGCTCCTAGATCTAGCTGCTTTCGTTGGCATCGTTGTCGTCAGCCGAGCGCCCTCCGCTAGTCTTAGAAGACGCAGCGACAGCAAGATGTAAGGCTGACACCTCGCCTTCGTGTGTCTTTCTCATCCTTCGTTGTCGGTGGTTTTAATCGTTATTGTCCTAACATCTCCCTTAAGTGCGATTTCTATCAGAATTCGTCACCCTTGTTGGCATTGATGATATTTTTGCATTTCTGAACACCTTGTCGTCGTCACCCGCTGTTCTAGCTTCAAACGCAGAGTTTCTCTAAACCCCTGCATCATTTTCCAATCACTATTTCCCGTTTCTCCTCCCACTCTCCCGAAATGCCAACATCAGGGCCTCCGCTGATGCTGCTGACTCTCAAGGTCTGTTTCTTTCTCTTGACCGGCCCGTTTAGCCAGATTATGGACTCAAACTTCCGTTCATATTTTCTCCGTTAGAAGGTCCTGCCCGTTTCTGCTCTCAATCCTTCATTCCTTTGACGCATCCTCAAACCCGTCTTCATTAACGAGTCCCCTCGCCTCCTCCCTCTCTACTCTCCCTCCGTCCTCTCTTTTGTCCCTCGCAACCGTACATTCTCCTACACCCGTGCCAGCCACGCCGTCGCCCCCTCCGGGCAACTGGTACGTGCACAAGTTCGGCGGCACGTGCATGGGCACGTGGGAGCGCATCCGCTCCGTCGCCAACATCGTCACTTCCGACAATGGCGGCAAAACCGCCGCCGCATCGCCCGCGCGGCACCGCTTCGTGGTGGTGTCCGCCATGGCGAAGGTCACCAACTCGCTGTACGCGTCGGTGGCGGCGGCGGAGGCGGGGACGTGGGAGGAGGTGGAGCAGCAGCTGAGCGCGCTGCGGGAGCGGCACGAGGAGACGGCGGCGCAGCTGCTGGGGCCGGAGGGCGAGGAGCACGAGGCGTTCGTGAAGCTGCTGAGGGACGACATCGGCAACCTGGCGTCCATGCTGCGCGCCATCTCCATAGGTGCGATGACAGAACCCCTCTAGGAGGACCGCCGGCTGCGTGGCTAGGAACTGGAAGGGGGCGGTTTGGTCACACCCAGGGCAGATACTGCATTCCTTCGCGTGTTCCGCGTTTCGCGTTGAATCTGGCCATGTAGCTTTAAGGGCCAGCAGCTGGGCATGTAGGCACGCGCCAAGCCCCAGGGTTTGAGGCTTTTGCTCATCCCCACGTGCTTCCCGTCCGCCTTGCCTCCCTTCCGGTCCCCCTTCCCCTCCCCCAGTGCGGCACACCACCCACGCATTCACGGACTTCGTTGTGGGGCACGGCGAGCTGTGGTCCGCGCGCCTGCTCTCCGCCACCATCCGCAAGGTGGGGGAAGGGCGCAGGGTTTCGGGGATAAGTGGTTTCGGCGGGGAGGAGGAACTAAGGAAAGGAGGATATCTCCCCCACTTCTAACCAAGCCCCCCGCCCTCCTAGTGTCCGCTAGTCCCCCCTCCCCACTCCCCCCCCTTCCCTTTTCGCCTCGCCTTCGCCCGCAGCTGTCTCCTTCTCTCGCCCCATTCTCACCTGAACCCCTCTTCCCCGCCCCCCTCTCTCTCTCCCCTCCCCCTCCCCACGCCCCCCTCCCTCCCCCCGCTTCCGCAGCAATCCGCCGAGCCGTGCGTGTTCCTGGACGCGCGCGACGTGCTGGTGGTGGAGGCGGCGGGGCAGCACGTGAACCCGCTCTACTCCATCTCCTCCGCCAACCTCGCGCGCTGGTTCGGCGCGGCGGGGCAGCCCGCGCTGGTGGTGGCGACGGGGTTCATCGCGCGCGACCCCGAGGGCGCGCCCACCACGCTCAAGCGCGACGGCAGTGATCTCTCCGCCGCTGTGTTCGGCGCGCTGCTCCACGCGAAACGGGTTACCATCTGGACGGACGTTGATGGGGTGTTCTCCGCTGACCCGAGGAAAGGTGAGAGGAACCAGATGAAGTATTAGAACCAGATTAATCTGTTTGTTTCGCAAAAATGTAACATTCACTGCTCCAAGGCGAACGTCTGTGCAAAGTTAACACGTGCACAGCGGGTCAGGCATGTTGTAACGAGCCTAGCTACTGGCGCCACTCTCACAGGCACAACACGGAATGCAGCCTAGTTTTGAGGCGCCTCAAAACTTGTAACGAGCTAAGCTACTGGCGCCACTCTCACAGGCACACCACAGAATGCACCCACCCTCACGCCCCGTCGTTGCCCCGCCCCTCGCTCATCCGCCCCCTCTCCCCCCCGTGTTCCTACGTACCGCTGCCCCCGTGCGCGCCCCCGTGCAGTGAAGGACACGGTGGTGCTCTCGTCCCTCTCCTACGAGGAAGCGCTCGAGCTGGTGCGTAGGGGGTTAAGGGGTTGGGGGGGCAAGGGGGACAAGGGGGCAAGGGGAGCAAGGCGTGCAAGGCGTGCAAGGGGTGCAAGGGGTGCAGGGATATGCTGGGACGGAAGGGGAAGGGAGCTGCAGGCCCTATTGCCCGCTCTCTATCCTCTCTCCCTTCCGCACTCCTATCTCTCCTCTACCCCCTACCTCCTATCCCCTATCCCCTCACCCGCCATTCAACCCTTCTTCCCCCTCTCCCCCCCTCCTCCCCCCAGTCGTACTTCGGCGCGAACGTGCTGCATCCGCGCACAGCCCTCCCCGTGATGCGCAACAACATCCCGCTGCTCATCCGCAATGCCTTCAACCTCGCCGCGCCCGGCACGCGCATCGGCCCATTGTCGTCGCCGCCCTCGTCGCCTGCGCCCGCCAGCGGCGAGCCGGCCATCGTGAAGGGCTTCGCCACCATCGAAGACGTCGCGCTCGTCAACGTTGAGGGGTGAGGTGGGGGAGCCGGAGAGGGATCAGGTGGGGGAATCGGCGAGGGATGCGGTGGGGGGGGGGAGGAGACGAGATATTAAAGCCCCCATCTCATATTTCCAAACCTTCTAGAGTGGAATGGGAACCTAGAGGCCTGATTGGTCGACGAGGGACGAAATAATAACAGGTTTGAGGCGAGGGGTGAGGATCTCAAAAATTTCGTACCAGTTTGCCCTACCCAAAATCGGATCTGAAGACTTGAAACGCAGCCTGAAATATGAGATTCGGGCTTTAACGGGGGAGAGGGGGGCGAGGGGTGGGGGGGGAGGGAAGGGTTGTGTTGATGAGGTATATGGGGAATGGGTAAGGAAGTGGCGGGTCGGCTGGGTGGCGATTGTCTCCCACTCGTGCATTTCCTTGCTCCGACTCCATGCCTCTCACTCCATCCTTGTGTGCTTCTCCCTCTCCCCCCCCCCTTTCACCTCTCACACCGCATACTCTCACGCTCCCTCTTTGCGCCACTGAACCCTCGCCATCCTCTCCCCTCTGCCCTCTGCCCTCTGCCCTCTGCCCTCTGCCCTCTGCCCTCTGCCCTCTCCCCTATCCCCTCTGCCCTCTCCCTTCTCCCCTCTCCCCTCTGCCCTCTGCCCTCTCCCTCTGCCCTCTCCCCTATCCCCTCTGCCCTCACCCCTCTCCCCTATCCCCTGGTGGCAGCACGGGCATGGCGGGCGTGCCTGGCACAGCGGCGGACATCTTTGTGTCGGTCAAGAACGTGGGCGCCAACGTCATCGCCATCTCGCAGGTTCGTGCCGCGCCGCCTCGCCGTGCTTTGCGCACTACCACAAAGTGCCACTGCGTCACTTCACTCAGAACCTTCTGTTGCTCCTCCTTCACTCCGCCTCTCACACACTGCTGCTCCATTCGGCCCTCCCGCTATCCTCACACCCCTTATCCAATCATCCACCGGCCCCTCCTTTCCTCCACACCCCCCCCTTTCTTGCCCCCCCCCACACCAGGCCAGCAGCGAGCACAGTGTGTGTCTGGCCGTGCCATCCCACGAGGCGGCGCACGTGGCAGCAGCGCTGCGCACAACGTTCAAGGAGGCGATAGCGGAGGGGCACATAGCGCACGTGGCGGTAATCGACAACTGCGCCGTGCTGGCCGCCGTGGGCAAGGGCATGCCCGCCACGCGCGGCGTGTCGGCTGCTCTCTTCGGCGCACTGGCAGAAGCCGGGGTGAACGTGCGGGCGATAGCGCAGGGCTGCAGCGAGTACAACATCACGGTGATCGTCGACCAGAAGGACATTGCCGCCGCGCTCACTGCCGCCCACAGCAGGTTCTACTACCCCGCCGGCGCCGCGGCTCGTGTTTCAGTTCCTGGGGCGGCGGCGGCTGCCCCTGCTCTCGTGCTGCCGCCTGCTGCTGTGGGTGGTGCTGGCGGGGTGACGACGGTGGCAGTGGCGGTGGTGGGGCCGGGGCTCATTGGCGGCACGTTCCTGGACCAGCTCAGCGAGCAGGTGAGCCCGGGGACGGAGGGAGGGAGGGAGGGAGGGAGGGGAAGATTGAGAAGGAGGCCAAGGGAAGGGACTCTGGGAAGGAGTTGAGGACGAATGGCGGGAGAGAGGAGGGGGAGGGAAGGGAGAGGCCTTTCTATCCAAGTGCAAGCAGTCCGTTCACCGTTGTGTGCATTCGTGGTCTGCGTTGCATGTGTGTGTGCGTGTGTGCGTGTGTGTGTGCGTGTGTGTGTGCGTGCGTGCAGGCGGCGTATCTTCTGTCCAAGTACTCGCTGCGCCTGCACGTGGTCGCCATTGCTGACATCAAGGGCTCGCTGCTCGCCACTGGCAGGTGCACCGCACTGCACTACATCGCACTAATCTGTACGACTCACCGCACCGCACTGCACCGTACTCTTGGTGTTCTCCCTGCACTGCACTCTTAGCTTTTCTTACGGCCCCTCCAACTGCTTAGACTAGCCATTCGCTCCTCCTCCATACTCCACTGCCCAACTCACCCAGCTTCCCCCCCGTCTCTGCCGTCCCGCTCCCCACCAGCCACGTGGACCTCCCCAATTGGCGCGAGCAGCTTCAGAAGGAAGGCACGTCCGTGCCTCTGCCCGCCCTCACAGCCTCGCTGACAGCCCTGGCAGCAGCAGGCAAGGCGCCGGCCACAGCAGAGGGGGGCGAGGAGGCACAGGCGTGGGTGAAGGCGTTAGGGGGAGGGGGCCTGGTGCACGTAGCGCTGGCGGACTGCACTGCGAGCGAGGCGGTGGCGGACTGCTATGCGGCGTGGATGCGGGGTGGGGTCACCGTCATCACGCCCAACAAGAAGGCCAGCTCGGGGCCGCTCACACGGGTGAGACCATGGGTGGGATGCCTGCCGGTGGGATGTGTTAAAGTGTGTGATGCCATGCCTGTATGTGCACGTGCGTTCCTCTATCCGCTCTGCCTCTGCCGCCCTGTGCTTCTCAAGGTGACTGTGCCTGTGAGTGCCCTTTTTTGCAAATGAACGTGTCGTTAACACACCGCGCCTCCTTCCCCCTTTTCCTTGTCCCCCGCCCACAGTTGGCGGAGATGGCGGCAGCACGGCAGCAGGGCGGGTCGCGGTTCTACTACGAGTGCACGGTGGGGGCGGGGCTGCCCGTCATCTACACGCTGCGGCGCCAGCTGGACACGGGGGATAAGCTCGTGCGCTGCGAGGGCATCTTCAGGTGCGCCTGCTGCCATGGAGGACGAATGCAATGCAGTGCAACGCACATATGAGGCATCTTTGTCTTTTAAACACGCTAAGGCTTTCCGCGGGTGCCGACTTGCCAAGCTTGGCTTCCATGCACGTCTCGTCTCTTCCACTCGTGCCTCACACATCCATGTTTTCTATCACCCCATACTATCCCCCCAATCTCGATCCTCTCCCTCAACCCTTCTTCCCCCTCCCCATCTCCCCCCCCCCCTTCCCCCCCTCAGTGGCACGCTGTCGTACATCTTCAACTCGCTGGACGGCAGCAAGCCGTTCAGCCAGATAGTGGCGGAGGCGAAGGCGGCTGGGTACACGGAGCCGGACCCGCGGGACGACCTCAAGGGCATGGACGTGGCGAGGAAGGTGGTCATCGTGGCGCGTGAGGCGGGGCTGCAGCTGGAGCTCGCTGACGTGCCTGTGCAGTCGCTCGTGCCACAGCCGCTACAGGTGAGCGCGTGGGTGGGGGGAGGGGGGGAGAGGGGGAAGGGGAGAGGGAGGAGGAACAGGTAAGGAAGAGCAAGGAGCATCGTTTGCCACTGACGAGCGTTGCTTGTCGTTTCTCTGTGGGCGCTCCTAATGTGTAGGCATTTGCATGTTGGCAGCTGTGGTCGTGGTGCCCACTCAGCTGCTCTTCGTTCGCCGCTCCTGCGCTTGTGTTCCTCACTCTCGGCTTCTGTGCACCCCCCTATCTCCTGCGCCCCACCTGCATCCCTGCCCCCATCAGAACGTTGCTTCAGTGGATGAGTTTCTTTCCCGCCTGCCCGACTTTGACTCGGAGATCACCAACAAGCTCAAGGAGGCGCAGGCAGCCAATGAGGTGAATGGGGCTGCGAGATGAGACTGGGAAGAGGGGTTTCCAGAGAGTAAGGTCTGACTTTGGTACTGCTAGTTCGCCTTGAGGCCTAGGGAGTGGCGTAGGAGTTACACAACACTGCTAGTGCTCTTCATGGCGGAGTGCATGCTCCCCCTTCTTCCTCTCACCCCCACCCCGCATCCCTCTTCTGCCCCATCCCTCATTTCACACGGAAACCCTTCATTTGGCCTGTCCTGCATCTCCAGGTGCTGCGCTTTGTGGGCATAGTGGACATGGCAAAGGGTGGAGCATCGGTGGAGCTGAGGCGCTACCCCAAGACGCACCCATTTGCAAGCCTCACAGGCAGCGACAACATGATCTCCTTCCAGACCGAGCGCTACTTCGACATGCCCCTTGTCGTCCGTGGCCCTGGTGCCGGTGCTGCTGTCACTGCTGCAGGTGTATTCACCGATCTTCTGCGCCTGTGCTCTCATGTTGGGGCTCCTTGCTAGGATGCAAGGTACATGGCTGAGAAGACAAGGGCGGTTGGAACGTTGGAAGCAAGAGATGCATATAGCGTTACATGAAATGAGGTATATGTATTGGAGGAAGTGCTTTCCTCTTGGAAAACGATGGTTAGGATATGATGGTTTGCCTAAGCACTGTAAGGTGGTGTGTGTGATGTGAAGCCTCCAATCGAAGGAGAAGTCAGTTTCTTTTCCATATTGTGGAGGTATAATGGGGTGAAAGATTTATAGGCGTTCCTTACTGGGGCTCGCTTCAGCGAGTACACGCGAGCAAAATGCGTCCGCAGCCTCGGCCTTGGTTCTTGCACCAAACCAGCCCCCACCGATCTGTTCGGCCCCCAAACCTCTTCCCGAGTCGCCCCGAACCCAATTTGACCCCGTCACCCTTGGGACAACAGTATCGAGCCCTTGACTGGTCCAACCATCGACATTCAACCCTGGTCAATCGCCCTATATATTTAGGCCCTCATTCCTATGATAACATAATAATCACGTTCCCCTTATTGAAGACTGCGCTATTCTCTGAGTTATAATTCAAAACACTACAGATTCAAAGAGGTAACTTATGATTTCTGTTTGTAACCTCCACAACAGTCCGATTGACGCGCCTACGTGCGTGACGTACAACCGACGCAGCGCGAAATGTGGCACGTTGGCGAGATGCGCGCGGTGGGTTGCGAAATCGATTCGGCGGAGCCGTCGAAAATGCGAAATTGCCCGTCAGGAAATTGCGAACCCCGTGTTCCCGCTGGTTCTCTGATGTGAAATCGCATCAACCCCTCATTCCTCCCAAGGCACACATCACATCACACCCCCTCGCCTCTTGTCATCACGTCTCATCACACATCATGCACACTGCACGGCACGTGCTCTCATCAGTTGCCCCAGTATGCCTACGTGCTCTCGTCAATGGACAAGTTATTATCTTGCCAGAAGTAGCAGCGATCCGTTGCGCCACAATCCGTCTTTCCTCCCTTCACAAAAATCCACTTGCTGATTACTACGCGAATCAATCTATCCAGGAGACGCAACAACTAATGCTCATCGCGACCAGGAGTGTGCATTGCATTTATCGCCGGTAGCTCGAATCTTAACCCGCTACGGCAATTTAACGAGCCTGTAGTGATCCAGTAATTTTGACAGAAGCATGTCCTGGCGCCCTTATCGGTGACCGCACGGCGACCCATGGCCGTCCTTAGCGCTTATACGCGCGTGGCGCTGCTCCTCGTCCTGTCCACAAACCTTGCTTTTATCGCCGCCCAAGGTCAGAACCATGGTTCCGTACGGCATCTAGATCTTATCTATTATTGATTTTATAGAGGTCTCCATCGTTTTCTAAAGCCTCTCAACAGCTCACGCCTGCTCCGTGTCCCCCCACGCAGATGGCGCCGACCCCAGCCCTGTGTATGCCGCCAATCCCTCCTCGCCATGGACTAGCATAAGGTAAGGCGCATCACGGATTAGTGTCCTTGGGCACAGGAAGTGTAAAGATTAGCGAGCGACGCTTCAAGCCGTCGTCTGGTCTTCGTCTGTCTTCCCTTACGCCACTGTGCACGGCCCCCTGCGCCAGCAGTTCTACAGCACATATCACATGCCCGACCCCTGCCTTCACGCTCATTCCTATTTCATCGACTCGTATCTTCTCACCCCTTCGCCCCTTCCCTGTCGCCACGCCAATCAGCTCTGACCACCTGAAGGAGCTACAGTACACGACGCGGGAGGTGATGACGCACCTTAGCAAGGCGGCGGGCCTTACGCAGGTCGCGGCTGTGCTGCTGAAACAGGAGAGCTGCCACCTCCGCCTCTTGGCGTCCGGCCAGGCGCTTCAGAACGCCGCGATCCTGCTGAGGCAGCGAGAGAAGGATTTAATCGTGGGGCAGATTGACAACGCGCTCGCCACGATTGGAAAGGTCAGGGGGTCACTAGAGCCTGCGTTCCATCGACCCGCTATGGACTACCTCGATGGTGCGCTAAGAGTGGCTGATGCTGCTCGCTGTTCGTTCGTGGATAGAAGAAAAAGGCGGTTTGCTTAAACCGTGGGGTAAGGAAGCCAAATGCAGGCCTAATACGCTCTTTTGTAGGCGGGGTAGTTCATACTTTCTTTTGAGCAAGTTTTTGGTATCGTTAAACCTAAGAGAGAACGCATAAGACATGTAACATATATCTGATAAGCAACATTTAGGAATTGAGTGTAGCATAGGGGTTCGTTTTCATGACTACAGAAAGATCCAACATTATTATATCGTAAGGACATTGCATTTGGGATATGCTGGTTGCGATTTGGTTGGAACTTCGGTTTGGATTCGTCTGACAGTTTTCATCGGGCCCGTTTAGCGGGTGTATAAAGTGAACCAAGGGATGTCAGATTATGACGTTCTGTGAGATGTACAGTGTGGTTGCTTACGTTTTCACAACGGTTTTAATGTTTAGTCTGATATCACATCGCCTGACGTCAGGTTTTGAATCGCTTTGTACGATCCGATTTTCTTTCCGCATGCCCGATTACAGTACAGGACAGAACTGTACGAGGCAGTCATCTGTGGCTGTCTGTTCTGTTGGTTTGATTGTGCAAAGCTGGCCCTCCGTGTTGTGTGCCTTGAGTCAAGGCGGCTCGCCTCATGCCCCTACAGCTAGAAATTGCTCCCATTCGCTGCGCCCAAGCCGCCCTCTGCTCGCCCATGGAGCGCCACAATTCAAGCCCCCATCGCTCGCCCCCCTCCTGCTGTGCCTTTCTCGCTGGGCCCCACGAGGGACTTAAAGCCCACCCGGCAGGTTGCATATTTGTACTGTTTAAGTTGGTGGGGTGGCAGAACTTGATTGGACGACGAAGGATAATGGAAACGAAATATTTGGCGAAGACTGGGCTTCGCAAAGTCAGCGTCTGTTTCGCGCGAGCTAGCGGGGCTGGAAACTTGGCAAGGCTGCCAGTTTTGCAGCTCACAATCTGGCGGAGAGCCACCTCGCCACCTCTGCCAAGTTTGCAGGGCTTGCAACCTGCCGGTCGGGCTTTAAGGCCTGGCCCCTGACGGGAATCAGCAAATCTTGTGACCATGGGGCTCCAAGAGCAGCCATCATATTCTCCAGCTGTCCTCCCAATGAGTTCGCTGCACAGCCTCGAGTACATTTCTCACGCCAGTTTGTCGCCTGCTTCCTGGTCGGGTCGGTCTCATTCAAGTAATCGAGGAGACAGCCTTGCTGTACGTATCTTGGGCCCTCTCCGTTCATGTAAATACCTCATGCGCCCAGCATCTCTTGGCCTCAGCGGCACACCTGATCGCTTCGCATTCTCCCATTCCCAACCACTCGTCAACGTCGTCCCCTTGCCCGTCCTTCTCTTGCTGCCACCGCTCGGCTCAGACCGGTTTCGCCTTGCAGCATGTCGCGCTTGTCCCAGAACAGCTACTAGCTGGTAGTAGTACAACCAGACCTCAGTCTCCCAAACAGTTTCAATATTCGACGTAGGCCGAGCTTGTTCTGTATGAGCACTGCTGCCATCCGCATCCACACGATTCCACCCACTCGCACCAAAGTATTCCGAGCAGAGAGTTCTCGTTCGATTGTACGCGCCAGCGCACTCGTAGGCGGCTACCTTCACACCGAAGCCCATTCACCCGCTCATGGAGCCCTTCTGGCCCTTCCACTCCATCGCTGGGACCGCCGCCTCGGCTGCGGCCGCCGAAACCAGAGCGACCGTTGGCGCTCGGCTCAGCGCAGTCCATGCTGACGCTTCGTCGTGGCGCCCCACGAACGCGGCTCGATCCCGTCACTCCCGGACTGGCTCAGACCCAGGCGCCGCCCGTCGTCGTTCCGCCGTCGCGGTTATCGTTGCGCTACTGGCAGTGGCAGTAGTCGCATCATGCGCGGTCGTCGCGTTGGTGGGCTCTGGGCACCGTGCCGGCGTTCTTGGCAGCCGCTTCAGCATGCTCCGCAGAAAGTTGCGATCATCCAACTCCGCTGCGACGATCGCGACGGAATCAACGACTCATATTGGTCGCAGCACGGCGACAGCGACAGCGACAGCGAGAGCCGTCGATAGCCACTGGATTGAGCATGGAGCCCGTCCCGAGGACCCGCCCTCCGTATCGGACGCGGCGTTGCTGCGGCAGAGTCCGTATGTGCGGCGACATGTGATCGACATGCGGTCCGAGTCATCGTGCAAGATCGTCATGCCTTCTCCGGAGATCTCCGCGGATGCTAACCCATCGAGGTGAGCTGTGCTTCTGCGCCGCACTTCTTTTAGCAGGGCATGATGCGTGCTCGCTCTATCTCGCTCTCTAACAGTTGTTTCTAGCTTCAAGTTGATGCTGCTTCTCGCATGCACGGAGCACGGCATCCACGCGCCTCACAATCGGAAGCTGCTTCAAGTTGAAGCTGCTTCTCATATGCTCTCCGTTCCACCCCGGCCACTGGACCCTCGTCCAACCTCCAGTGCCCCTTTCGCGGCGTCGCTCGCCCGCTTCGCCAACTCAACGGAGCGCGTGCTGCTCGTGATTCCGCGCCACGGACTCGGGAACAGCCTGCGCGGCTTCGTCTCGGCCTTCGTCTTCTCTCGCCTCTCCGGCCGCCGCCTCATCCGCTTCCATGGCGGCGCGCATGGGAAGGTCCTGGACGCGCTCTGCGCCGCGTTTGACTGCGGGTTTGATGCGATTCGGGGAGGCGGCGCGGAGGAAGAAGAGCTGCTGGTTTCTCCGGGGAAAAACGGCGCTCCCGCTGGCGGGAAAGGAAAAGGGGGACTCGGCGGAGAGGCGGCTATGCGCGCCGTGTTGAAGCGGCTCAACTTCGTCGACCTCCAAGCACAGGGCCGCTCGCTGGGTACGTCAGAAAGTGTCTGAGTCGAAATGCATGCACGAACATCCAGCAGCTGTCAGTGACGAGAAGACGAGTTCGTGAGGAAGGGAGAGTGACGTCTTGGGAGTATCATGGACGCGTGCCTTGCTGGTTGGTTGGACAGTCCCTCAGAGACTGAACCACGCACTTCTTGCATTGGATTGGCCAACGTAAGGATTGCGAGGAGATTGCACAAAAACTGGATGAGATATAATATATATAGTTTCTACTTGAGTAGCTTACACGACTCCCGCTTCTTATATGCATTACTTAAGCATAGTCCCATCGTGTGAATGGGTTTGTGATAATCTTGCTTCACCCCCCTCTCCCCACCCCCTCCCTCCTTCCCCACTTACCATACAGTGGTCCGTCAGTCTATACCATCAGCCGCACCTCTCGTTCTCACCCACAGCGCGCGCAACTTTGATGGTTTCTGGCGGCACTACCCCGCGGTCAAGCGCTGCGTGGCGGCAGCATTCAATTGCAGAGAGGGCGATGTGTGGTGCGTGCACTCCCACGCGCTGCAACAGCTGCTGCCCCGACCTTCTCCTTCTCTTTTGTCTGTCTTACAAGCGGTGGTGCGGCGCCGAAGGCATATGGGAGGAGCTGGTTCTGTGGCAGGCGAAGACGTGGGTAGCGACTTGGCACAGGCAGGCTTTATGTTTGACATTGCTCTGCACTTGCGCACGCGGCCCTCGTCTATTGAAGGAACGGGTGAAGCTGGCACCAGGCGCAGCAGCAGCAGGGGAGATGAGAGCGCACAATTGATCAAAGAGCTGGCACATGTGGGGTGTGTTGACAATGATGACACTGAGAAAAAAGTTGCCCAGGCGAATGCATCCAGTGCGTTCCTTCAGCGCTGCCTCTGGTCGTGCCTTGACAGTGCTATCCGTGAGGTGGCAAAGCAGCAGGGGAAGCCCATTGCACCCCTTTCTGATGGTTCCAACTCTTCCCCTTTTCGGCCACTCTCCATATTCTTGGCCACTGACAGCGAGGAGTTGAGAGGCGAGTTTGTCAATCGCCTATCAGCCTACGGCGACGTGTATTACTCAACAGGTGCTGTTGTGCACTCCGCTAAGACTGCTGTGAAAGTGAATGATCAAAGGGGGGAAGGTAATGTAGCTGCTAACTCGTCAGGCGTGACCACTACAACCGAGTACCCTAGTTCCACAGAGCCTGAAGCAGGTGGCAGCAGTTTCAGCAGTGCTACTGGCAGCCCCAAGGGAAGACTCGCTTGGAATTTGCCAACGATGGGGGAGTTTTTCCTGTTGAGTAGATCGCATACCATCATTGAGGCTGGTGAATATGTAAGCTCCTTTGCGCATCAAGCTGCCCTGCTAGGCAACGGCACATTGGCAGGAATCAAGTGGGGCAGGGATGGAAATGGAAGCTGCTCAATTAACGTGGTGCATCAAGCGCTTTAGCTGGACTGAGCTGTAAAATACGACCTTAATAATGCGTGAAGGATATGCAATGCATCTGTTTGGATATGCAATGCATCTGTTAGCACCTCTAGCTAGATGCTCCACAACTAAAAAAAACACTTTAATAGCAGCAGCAAAGATCGTACGAAAGGAACTTGTTTACAGCGCAAGACAATAATTCATATAACGTACCAACAAGCGAAGAACAAGGTGAACGAGTGGGAAAAGATACCAGGTACGGAATAAGGGACGAGTAGAACACGGTGTAGCTTCATACCCTGGAGCCGAAGCAGGATGATATCGCGGATAGATTTCGTGAGACTGTACCCTTGGGTCGGAAGGATTCTCTGTATTGGCCAACTGTTCCGATTCCGACCGATCCCCCAAGGCAACAGCTCGCTGGGCTTGCTTTGCTGCCCACACACACCTTGTGGTGCTGGCCTTGCGACCTCCCCTGTTCTCGGGCCGAGACCAACCAGCGAGTCATGACAACGCAGCCATGACTCGCAAGACACCGGGACATGTATCCCTTCCCCCCCCCCATGGATAGGCAGCAACACGCGCTATGCAACAACCGAGTGCCAAGGCTTCGTCTCGAGGCGCTGGTGCCGTGCTCTTAGTTAAAGCGACCCCGCGAAATGGGCCGCCGTCTGCGCGGGGAGTCGTCGTACTCCCCACACTCGTATCGCCATCGATTCCAGGAGCCGCATTTCTTCGCTAGCCACCCAAGGTTCCTCCTCCCTTCATCTGCCGCCACACATGCTCACCCGCGCGCCTTCCCCCTCCCGCTCTCTCACCCGTCGCCCACTGAGCCCATGTATTTCCCTTCCGCGTCGCTCGATTCCCCCGGTATTGTCACTCCCCATCGCGACCTCCACGCGTTCTTCTACGCGAAAACAGCCTCCCCGCCCATACCATCTGGACATTCCCCATTCCCCGGGCTACTGTCGTCGCAATCCGCCTCAACTCTTGTCGCACGAGCAGAGAGCCCTGCCTCGGCTGCCGCTATTCTGGGAAGTAATTCGCCGCTGCGACAACCCTCGTCGCCTGCCGTCGCATCAGCCGCCCCGCCCCCCAGTAGCCCCCCGTCGTCGCCGGTCAGGGGAGGCGCGCCTGCGTCGCCGGCGTCGCCTGCGTCGCAGGGTTGCGACAAGCAGTTCTCGTACACAGCGACGGTGAGACTTGCCCCTTAGCCAAAGCCCGTCAACGATTCGCAACACTGCGGCATGCGGAAAGGTCACCTCATGTGCATGCGTCCGTCGTTCCCCTACGAACTTCGTTTCCCATCCCTGACCTTTTTCGTCCTCCGTCCTTGCACCGCTTTTCTCGCCTCGTGATGTCTCGCCGCGGCAGACCGGGTGCAGTGGCGGGAACGGCGCGGCGGTGGGGTATGTGTTCGGCGGGCTGCTGTGCATCCTGCTCGTGCTCTTCGTCTCGCTCACCGCCATCTGCTTCTACCGCCGCCGCTATGCGCGCTACCTCTCCACGACCGACCCGCCCTTGCGATCGGTAACCCACACTCCCCACACTCACCTACGCTATCTGTCTCTGTCACCATTTGAAATCGAATTGCTTCTTTTCCTAATTTGCAATCACGCCCTCACCTACCCCCCCCCTGTCCATCGTCCGTTTTCCCCTTGTCCTCCCGGCATCTCATTTAACCCTCCAACCCCCTGTTCACGCCCCTAACTCCCTCGCCTCAGGACCTATCCGGCATTCAGCCCATGGCGACGACACACTCCCACCAGCCACCGCGCAAGGACGACCCCGCCCCTCTCACCCCTGAGCCCTGCCCAGGCGTATGGGTGACCCTGCCCGGGCCCGTGCATGCCTCCGCGTCCTCCTCAGGGTCGCCGCATCCCCCTCTGCTGCAAGTGGCCTGGCCGGAGAGCTACGACCGCCGCCTCGCTCGTGCCGTCCGGGCCAACGCTGCCTCCACTGCAGCCTCTGCCTCTCGTCCCTCCTCTTCTGCTGCTGCCGGTGCTGGTGCTGCTGGTGCTGGTGGTGGAGTTGCGTCTGGCCGGTCTGCCGCTGGGGCGGGTCAGTCACTGTTGCTGCGTCGCCCCAGCACAGGGGGGTCCATGCGGGCGGGCAGCCACGTGCCCTCGCCCGACTCTTCCGTGCACTCCATCTCCAGCCTCGAGCCCTCCGTGCATCTGTCTATGAGAGGGGGGGTGAGCTTCAGCGGCAGTGGCAGGGGGGTCATGTTTGGGAGCGCCTCGTACAGCGCCACAGGGCTGGGCGGCATGGGTGTGGGGGCGGGCGCTGGTGGGGGGGCGGCAGGAGGAGTGGTGGTGGTGGGTGATGGGGTGTTTGGAGTGGCGTCAGGGGCGATGCTGCCTGTGAGGGAACAGGACTGGAACAGTGCTGCCATACCCAGTGTGGCTGCTCATGCCATGACTGGTGGGGGAATAAGTGCCACTGGCATTGCTGCTGTGGATATCACTGCTGGTGAGCCTGGGTCGGGAGTTGGTCCTAGAGATGCTGCTACAGAAGCAGCTGAAGAAGGGGCCGTAGGGGCAGCAGAGGCAGCAGGGGGAGGGGCAAGCATACACGGCAGCATGAGGTCACAGACAGCCTCCGCTGGTCGGTTGCCCATTTCATTAGAGGAGACCCTCTCATTAATGGAGCCGCCCTTACAGTCGCACTCCCAACACGGGGGGTTGTGTGAGCAGGGCAGCCATGGCATGGGAGCTGAGGATGGCAGTTGGGATGATAGGCAGGGGCAAGGGCAGGTGGAGGGTGGGGCGAGGCATGGGGATGGGGTGGTGGATGGTGCAGGGCTTGAGAGTGGAGAAGAGAGGGCGGAGGGGCGGCAGCATGGAGGCAACATCTGGCAGACCGTGTCGTCTTTCTCCATCGCATGCCATTTGGCCCATCACTCGTGAACCATGAGCCCTGTGTTCCACGGTCCCGCCTTTCCCCCTCCATGTCTATGGCTGCCTTGCGGACTTCAGCCAAGAGCGGCAAGCGTGTGATATGTGTGGTGGGCCAATTGGTCTGAGAGTTAGGGATTCCTGTGTGCTTGGTGAGAGGCTCTGTTGGTGAACCAGGGTGGGGGAAGCACATATCAGAACAACTTGGGTAGTGTGCTTAGGGCAGGTAAAGGATTCATAATGCGTCTTTGAGGCAAGGGTTTCGTGAAGTGTGTTTGCTGTTTTATATGCTTGATAAAAAGGGCTTAGGCAGAACTCTTGTATCGGCCCTCCTGGGGCTGTGTTCCAGGTACCACGTACAGCTGCTCCTCTTGGCATGATGATGATGATTTATTGCCCAACGTCAGTCACAGCCTACCTACACCATTGGGCTCCTCGCACTAGCATTTGTTCTGGTCTGGGTATCCACAAATGAGCACCAGGGAAGGGAGTGGGCAAGGTTGAATCCAGTGTGCACGTTGGCAGGTTACTGCAACGTCTCTGCTGAGCGACCTAAGAGGACAGAGCAGGTGCAGGGTTAGGAAGGCGAGTAGGAGGACGTTGGGATGGGATGGAGAGAGTGGGAAGGGGAAAAAGGGGGGCGGGGGAGAGAGAGAGAGTGAGAGAGAGAGAGTGTGTGTGTGTGTGTGTGTGTGTGATAGAGAGAGAAGGTGGAAGGGGAGGGGGAGGGAGGAGGGAGGGAAAAAAGGAGAGGAAGGAGATATATACGATAAGGAGGGAGTGGGTACTGTGGGCAATTTCATGCTAATGAGGAGCTGCGAGCAGCAATGGAGGCATGTATGGAAACAAACATGGGAAATGCTACTTGTTCAGGCGGGTGTGCTCATACCATTGGAGATTTGCCTTGAGGTGGCGTTGAATCTCTCATACTCGCGCCGGTCAGAGCCCACAGCACTGATCTCAAGAGCAGTTGCTGATAACGGGTCCGTCTCTGCAGCGCATGCAAGGGGCATGGACGCGAAACATAGGGAGCAGTAGAGGGGCAGTTGTGGGGCACGACTGGTAGCTGAAGCGAACATGCCGAGGCGGGTGGCGGGCACGGGGGAGTGTTAAGTGAGACAATGGAGAATGTCTATTGGCAGGTGCATGGTGGACGACCAGTGTTGCACAGCCACTGACCGGTGTGTGTGTCCGTGCATGCGCGCGTGTGTATGTGTGTGCGTGCGTGCGTGTGTATGTGTGTGCGTGCGTGCGTATGTGTGTGGGTGTGCATGCGTGCGTGTGTGAATGTGTGTGTATGGGGGTGTGTGTGTGTGTGTGCATGCGTGCGTGTGTGTGTGTGTGTGTTTGTGTGTGTGTGTGTATGGGTGTGTGCATGTGCGTGTGCGTGTGTGTGTGGGCGAGCAGGCACCCCACCATGTGAGGACGACTTGTGTCGTCTGCTGTACACAATGAGGAGGGCCAGCAGGAAGCAGAGGGCCGCCAAGGACAGAATTACAATGCCTGCAATCGCCCCGCCAGACATCTGCTGGGACGGTGCTGCTGCTGGTGGCGGTGGTGAGGAGGTGGGTGGTGGGTATGGCTGGGCTGGGCTGTCCGCTGAGCGGGAGAGAGGGACACGGTGGCATGTGGACAGACGAGGAGAGCCATGTCAGGAACGGATAGAGGGAGATAGGGGGAGAGGGAGAGAGGGGGAGAGAGAGGCGAGCCGACTCTGCTGAGCACAAAGCAGACAAGAGGGTGGGGTATGACGCAGCACAGCGAAGCATGCATGCTGCAGCACACGGTGCAGAGGGCAGGGCAGCGTACCGGGTGGCATGCCGGGGAGGCAGGAGGTGCAGAAGGAGGAGCACTTGCGGCAGAAGAGGGAGTCCTGGCTCTGAGGCACCTCGCAGTACACATCGCCCGACAGACAGTACACCTCGGGATGGTCCACCGACCTGCCACACGTGTCAAGCAGCGTGATGCGGTTTGATTCGCGAGAGAAAAATCAAACGTGCTTTGCTTTGTAGTCAATCTGAAAAGCGTAGGGAAGAGCGTAGTCAATCACAGCAAGGGAAGGGCGCACTGACAAGGCTGTGAGGTCCATGAGGTTGCCGAGTGTGGCAGGGATGGATGACTGCAGGTTGTTGGTGCGCAGGTCACTGGGGGGCAGCGGGGCGTGGGGGATGAGATCACGGGGGGAAGCAGTGAGACCACTGGGAGCTTGAGGAGGAGAGCAGTTGGAGACACAGAAGCAAGGGTAAAAAAGTGTTTCGTGAGCCCCATGGGGATGGGCATTGGCAGGAAGGGGCTGAGCGCGTGTCCTCACATGTTCTTGAGCAGAGCTAGATTGCCCAGGGTCGATGGAATACCGCCTGAGAGCCCATTGGCTGACAGATCCCTGAAAAGTGCAGCGGCGGAAAAGGGGAAAGGAAAGTAAAGAGGCTGGCTGGAAGATGGGCCGTGGTAAGAAAACGTCGCACGGGGCTGATTCCGTTCGGCTGACTGTCAGCGATTGATGCCTTGCGCAGCTAGCAGCAGCTGCTGCTGTGGTGCTAAGGGAGAGGGGGGGTGTAGGGGGGGGGGGGATGTTCTGTGACATGGGGGATAAAGAGTGCGGGAGGGCGCAAGGAGGGCGACTGACAGGTATTGGAGGTTGACGAGGTTGCTAATGTTGGCGGGAATGGAGTCCGAGAGCAGATTGTGGCTCACATCGCTGCCAGGGCACACGGGGACAGGGAGGCGTAGAGAGAGGAATGGGGTTGGCATGGGGCAACCGGAGAGGGGAAATCGGGATGAGGATTGAAAGTGGATGTGAGGAGAGGAGAGGAGAGGAGAGGAGAGGAGAGGAGAGGAGAGGGGAAAACTGGCTGGGAGGAGGTAAGTGAGGGCAGTGCGAGCAAGTGAGAGTGCATGTTAGTGGATGGGGAGGAGGGGTGGTGGGAGAGCGGAGAGGACGTTACAGGCGTTGCAGCTTGGGAAGGGTGAAGAGCTCCGGGGCGAGAGGGCTCGACAGATGGTTCCAATTCAGCGAGCTGACAGGGGGGGGAGGTGCGGGGGAGGGGTGGTTGGGAGTGAGAGGTAGAGGAGGCTCAGGCAGGCATGTACACACACAGTGGATGAGACGAGTCAGGTGGCTAGGACGAGATTCGGAGAGAGAGATGCCAAGGGGCAGGAGAGCAAGGGGACCAAGGCGAAAAAAGGCAAAGGAGAGAGGAGGGGGGGGAGAGGAGGGGGGAGAGAGGAGGGGGGAGAGAGGAGGGGGGAGAGAGTGGGAGGCGGGGAGTCACATGTTCATGAGGTCAGTGAGTTTGCCAATGACTGTTGGAATGGAGCCCGTCAGCTGGTTGTACCCCAGGTTGCTGCACGCAGAGCAGGGATGGGATAAAGGGAGCATGGCACACAGAGAGGCTCGCCAGGTGAAGCAAGGAGGTGCAAATGGCGAGATGGCTAGAGAGTGTGAGCAAAAAGTGTTTCTCCACGTGGCGCGATTAGCAGCGAACATGCACCGCACCGGGTCACAGGAGGACGGACGTGTGCGCGAGCGGTGTGCGGCACAGACTGAAAGTGAAAGGAGCGGGCATGCTAGGTTGCACAGGGAGGGAGACCGCAGAAGTGGAAGGGGGGTTTGGGGTGGGGGGGGGAGAGTAGGAGGTAGTTGTGAGAGAAACGTTTCACCGTGGGAACAGGGGCAGGGAGCGGCGCTCACAGCACTACGAGGTTGGCAAGGCCGCCAAGCGCATTGGGTAGGATGCCCGAGATGTTGTTGTGGTGCACCTCACTGCCACGCACGGACGCGGGGTGCAGGGGCGGGTGCAGGATGGAGCACAGAGGGGTGCAATGGGCAGGCACATGGTTTGGGGAGAAGAGAAATGAGAGAAAAGTGGGGGTGGGTCAAGAAAAGAGAGGCAGATGCAACGAGTGGATGGGTGAGATGCTAAGAGGGGCGGGTTCATGTCTAGAAGGCAAATGATGGGGTGGAGAGCATGGGCGGGGGGAAGAGGCACTGACAGTTCGAGGAGGCGAGGGAGCATCTTGAGGGAGGTGGGCAGGGAGCCGGAGAGAGAATTGTTGGCCAGGTGCCTGGTGGGATTGGGCACAGATGGTACGTGCAAGAGCATGTGTAGGGAGGGGCATGCGTACAGCCTGATAGGCTGCGGTATGCCAACAGGTGGCCCACAAAAAGAGTGCAGAGACAGTAGAGGAGCAGCAAGAGTGACGGCAGTGGCTGTGGCTGGCAGGTTGCAGGGTTTCAGGGGTGCAGGGGCCGTACAGCAGCACGAGCGTGGAGAGGTTGCTGATGGAGTCGGGGATGGAGCCATTCAGATGGTTGTAGCTGAGGGATCTGCGCCACATGGGGTGCGCGGTGGGGGTTCTTGAGGGTATAGGAGTCAATGCAGGGTGGAAGGAACGTGGGCAGCAAGGGTAGGCACGAGAGAGCGCAGCGCCAGATATGGTGCTTTGAGTTGTGGCGATGGCAACGAGGAGAAAGAGTGGGCGTGTGAAAATGCCGCTGTACGCAAGATACCAGAGTTGGTTGCATGTGTGGCAGAGGCAAGTGTGGCAGAGGCATGCGTGGCAGAGGCACGGCACAAAGGCTTACAGGTCCAAGAGGGGCCGAATGCTGCCGACGGCAGGAGGGATGGGGCCAGACAGCAGGTTGGAGTCCAGGTACCTGATGGGGCGGAGGAACAGGTGGGGGAGGGGGGGAAAGGGGTAGGGGGTTGTTGAGACGAGGGATCAACTGACGCGAGATTGCAGTTGGCAGCACATGGCAGCAGCAGAATAATGCAGCACATGCAACGCGGATGAGAGCAGGCAGTGCAGGGGGGTGCATGTGGAGGGTGAGGTTGGAGGAGGGGGCTTACAGTGCGACAAGGAGGGAGAGGTTGGTGATGGAATCGGGGATGGAGCCGGACAGAAAGTTGGAATCAAGGTACCTGCAGCAAGGTGCCGTTTGATTGCGTGCAGTGTTGGGTCAACATATGGATGGTGCTTGCTTGCTGCCCAGCCCAACAAGCTCAAGAACGAGAGACTGTGCAGACGACGAATGGAACCGCCATTGAGGGCACGACAAAATAAGGGATGAAGCGAGCATGGAGAGGGAGGGAGGGGGCGTGAAGGCAGGGGTGAGCGAAGGGTGACATGCATAGTAGATTCCTCACAGTTCAGAGAGTTGTGTGAGCTGGCCGATGGACGGGGGGATGGGGCCCGTGAGCTGGTTGTGGCGCAGCGAGCTGAGAGAGCCACACGGGCGCAGCATGAGGGGGAAACGAGCGCACCAGGCAACGAGAATCGCAGCAGTCCTTGGTGCACCACATCACACTACCCACACACGCTACATGTGACATGCCCCACCCATTCATCACTAAGCCTGTCGCCTATTCTCAACAGTACCACACCATGCGGGCATGCCCCACCCCCATCTGTCCTTCCGCACCTCCTCTCTCTCTTCCTCGGACCTTCTTCCCTCGCCCCCACTGCCCATGGCACCTACAGTTGTGACAGCGACGCCAGCTGTCCAATGCCTGATGGGATGCTGCTCGACAGACTGTTGTAGCCCAAGGTGCTGGAAGGGGGGGGGGGGCGGGGAGGAGGAAAGACAGAGAGAGGCAGGTCGCAGGAGAGTGAGGCGCATGGCAGGATGATAGAGCGGGGCGCGGTGGGCGGGGTTGCTATGCAAAGAGCGGGGAAGGGGCGTGGAGGCTCACACATAGACAAGGCTGGAGAGAGCGGTGATGGAGTCTGGGATGGAGCCCGAGAGAAGGTTGCTGCTCAGGTACCTGGTGGCAGGGGGGAGATGGGCGAGAGACGACAGGCATGCGAGCACTCTTGAGAGCCAGGGACACGAGGAGCTTCGCATGCAAGAAGGGAGGAGTCTGGAAAGAAGTTGCAAGGATGGTGAGACGACGAGGATAGCGAGGGAGGTGTGGCGGGAGTGAGAGGTGTGAAGGTGGGAGCGCAGCGCATGCACGCACAGCTCCGCGAGGTTGGCGAGTCGCGAGAGAGCCGGGGGAATGGCGCCGGAGAAGTTGTTTTTCTCAAGGGACCTGCGGGGACCGTGGAGCATGCAGCACGAGGCATGACGGTTGAATTCTGAGACGTCTCAAAACTCGAGGCATAGTGGTTGAATGACAAAAGGGGCAGCAGTGACGGGCTCTGAGACAGCACTGACAGGAAGGAGCGAGAGGGGGGCAGCACTGACAGGAAGGCGAGAGCAGTGAGGTTGGTGATTCCATCAGGGAAAGAGCCCGAGAGACTGTTGTAGCTCAGGTCGCTGCGAAGCGATGGCACACACACGATGAGGTGTGCAGCAAGCGGGACAAGGGGAGTGAGAAAGAGCAGGAAGAAGAGTCGATAGGCGGACAAGAAGAGCAGGAAGAAGAGTCGATAGGCGGACAAGAAGAGCAGGAAGAAGAGTCGATAGGCGGACAAGAAGAGCAGGAAGAAGAGTCGATAGGCGGACAAGAAGAGCAGGAAGAAGAGTCGATAGGCAGACAAGAAGAGCAGGAAGAAGAGTCGATAGGCGGACAAGAAGAGCAGGAAGAAGAGTCGATAGGCGGACAAGACGAGCAGGAAGAAGAGTCGATAGGCGGACAAGAAGAGCAGGAAGAAGAGTCGATAGGCGGACAAGAAGAGCAGGAAGAAGAGTCGATAGGCGGACAAGAAGAGCAGGAAGAAGAGTCGATAGGCGGACAAGAAGAGCAGGAAGAAGAGTCGATAGGCGGACAAGAAGAGCAGGAAGAAGAGTCGATAGGCGGACAAGAAGAGCAGGAAGAAGAGTCGATAGGCGGACAAGAAGAGCAGGAAGAAGAGTCGATAGGCGGACAAGAAGAGCAGGAAGAAGAGTCGATAGGCGGACAAGAAGAGCAGGAAGAAGAGTCGATAGGCGGACAAGAAGAGCAGGAAGAAGAGTCGATAGGCGGACAAGAAGAGCAGGAAGAAGAGTCGATAGGCGGACAAGAAGAGCAGGAAGAAGAGTCGATAGGCGGACAAGAAGAGCAGGAAGAAGAGTCGATAGGCGGACAAGACGAGCAGGAAGAAGAGTCGATAGGCGGACAAGAAGAGCAGGAAGAAGAGTCGATAGGCGGACAAGAAGAGCAGGAAGAAGAGTCGATAGGCGGACAAGAAGAGCAGGAAGAAGAGTCGATAGGCGGACAAGAAGAGCAGGAAGAAGAGTCGATAGGCGGACAAGAAGAGCAGGAAGAAGAGTCGATAGGCGGACAAGAAGAGCAGGAAGAAGAGTCGATAGGCGGACAAGAAGAGCAGGAAGAAGAGTCGATAGGCGGACAAGAAGAGCAGGAAGAAGAGTCGATAGGCGGACAAGAAGAGCAGGAAGACTCGATCCACGAGGGAATGAGGGCAGATGTCAAGGAACGCACGAGCAGCAGCGGGTGAGGCAGGCGGAAGGTATTACATATGCACGAGTTGTGCAAGATTGGTGATGGCGTCTGGGAGAGGCCCTGTGAAGTTGTTGCCGCCCAGCTCACTGCCCAATGACGCAATGGAGCACACACGTGTGAGGGACACACATGTGCTTGTTGCGGTGCAGTTGCGTGTAACAAATACAGTTTGGAAGAGAACCAATGGTTGAACTGAAAGCAAGGGCACTTATGGCGCCGCCTTGTGGCTGGATGATATGGCAGCTGCCACGCCCGGCATGCCCACCCCTGCCAGCAATGGGCGATATGCCCGGTTGATGGCATGGGCGGTGGGCAGTGCGCATTGGTGCAATGCAGGGCGGGAGCAGGGCGAAGCGGGCTTGGGTAGTGAGAAACAAACAAGCTAGGGAGGAGCACTTGGTGACAGTGGAGACAAAAGCAAGCAGAGAGAAACGCTTTGGCATGCATGGTGCGTGGCTCACAGGTGTGTGAGAGCCGTGAGAGGGGCGGTGGACCAAGGTATGGAGCCAGACAGCTGGTTGCCCTGCAGCGAGCTTCAGGGGGGGTTAAGGCAGGAGGGGGAAAGGGAGAAAAGGGATGCGGGATGCTTGAGATGACCGGCGTGCGAACATGGTGCTAGCCCAGTGAGTGAGAGGGGGCAAAAAAAGTTGAGAGGCCATGTGAATGGTTGCGACTACAAGAGTTAAGAATCTCGAGAGGAGAGGGTGATGATGAAAAGGCGGTGCAGAGGCCCCAGCAGGCTACAGCTGGGTGGCTGAAGGAGACCCCAGCAGGCTACAGCTGGGTGGCGGAAGGAGACCCCAGCAGGCTACAGCTGGTGGGCCATCAATGGGGACGCACTCACAGATGCGCGAGGGACTTGAGAGCGAAGATGGATGCAGGAATGCAGCCTGACAGCATGTTGCCGCCGAGGAAGCTGAGGCGTGGTAGGGGAGGGGCAGACAAGAGACCGCAGTGGTAGGATGAGATGGAGCAGCAAAGGGGAGCGAAGAGAAGGTGGAGAGACGGTGGAGGGAAGGTGGAGAGAAGGTGGAGAGAAGGTGGAGAGAAGGGGACATGTGCGAGGGGGGCGATGCACTGTGGTGTCTGCTAGCACGTGTGGTGAGGCGCATGAGGGCAGCACTCACATGTCTGCCAGCGCTGTCATGGCCCCCAGGGACTCCGGCACTGAGCCACTCACACGGTTGCTCTCCAGCTGCCTGCCACAGCAGCAGGGGGGTGCAGTGCGGCGTGGTTCGGGCACAGGGAAGCAGAGGGATGCTGTTGCAGCATGCTACTCAGAATGGTACAGTCGGTCCCTTTGGGGAATGGGGGACAGCTTCAAGATAGCATTTGGAATGTAGAGAGATGCAGGAGAGAGGGGGAGGGAAGGAAGCACAGGGCGGTGGAAGGAACGGACAGTTGAGAGAGCGCGGAGAGGTTGGAGATAGCATTTGGGATGGACCCGGCGAGGCTGTTGCCGCTAAGAAGCCTGGACGTGGGAGCCAGTGCACGCAGGCAAATGCATGCACACGAATCCATATGCAACAATGCACACACACACATGCACACACACACATGCACACACACACATGCACACACACACATGCACATGCACACACACACATGCACACACATGCACACACACACATGCACACACACACATGCACACACACACATGCACACACACACATGCACACACACACATGCACACACACACATGCACACACACACATGCACACACACACATGCACACACATGCACACACACACATGCACACACACACATGCACACACACACATGCACACACACACATGCACACACACACATGCACACACACGCATGCACACACACACATGCACACACACACATGCACACACACACATGCACACACACACATGCACACACATGCACACACACACATGCACACACACACATGCACACACATGCATGAACACAAATCCATATGCACAAATGCGTACTCATGCATACTAACACACACATATGCACCCACGAAGGAGAGAAGGGAAGGCCAGGCAAACAAGCCGAGGCAGCTCCACAGCGACGTCATTGCAAATGGTCTCATAGAGCAAGAGAGAAAGCATCTCAACAAGGGATGTGTGGAAAGGCAGCAACACACAGGCAGCAAATGGAGGGCGAGGGGAAGGTGCTAGGGAGGAAGCACGGGGAGGGAGGAAGAGGGCGCACAGGCACTGGAGGTGGGGCAGGGTCCATATGGAGCTGGGGATGGCACCATCCAGCTCGTTCTCCCTCAGGTTGCTGCTCGGACACACAGGGCGCCGTGGGGACAAGGGACGCGGGAGGAGCAAGCATGGCAAGACAGGGAGGGAGAGGGGCGAGATGCATAGGGAAGGAAGAGTTGATGGGTGAAAGGAGAGTGAAAGGAGAGTTTGGGAGTGAGACGGGGCGAACTAAGTTCTAGCTAACAAGATGTGAGGTGAAGGCACACCGGACACAGAGATGGAGGGTATGGATGGGCAGCAAGAGCGGATACGATGGGATGGGTTGGTGTGCGGTGGTGAGAGAGATAAGGTGAAAGTTTCCGTCAACCGAAAGTTTAAATGTTGAGATAAGGTGCGTGTGCATGTGGATGGCATGGCATGGCATGGCACGGCATGGCTTGGCATGGCATGGCACGGCATGGCATGGCATGGCACGGCATGGCTTGGCATGGCATGGCACGGCATGGCATGGCATGGCATGGCATGGCATGGCACGGCATGGCATGGCACGGCATGGCATGGCATGGCATGGCACGGCATGGCACGGCATGGCATGGCACGGCATGGCATGGACAAGGCACTGACAGCATGGTGAGGTTGCTGAGCTGGCCGATGGACGATGGGATGGAGCCCCACAGCAGATTCTCGTTCAGGGCACTGGAAGGAGCGAGCATGCACACACAGGAACCCACGCGCACGCATGAGGAGAGCGTTGGATGACTCAGAGCATTTTCAAAAAGAGCTGAAGCTGATAAGTAGCCAGCAGCAGTTGGGATTGCAGGCTGCAACTCGCCTGCATGAAGGCGGATTTTTATTGACAGATAACGCAGATGGAATGGTTAAGGGCAGGAAGAGAAGGGGTGGTTTGGATTGGATGATTGGGCTTACAGGGTGGCAAGGTGCACGAGGTTGGTGAGGGCAGCTGGTATGCGGCCCTGCAGCTGGTTGTTGTGCAACATGCTGGCGAGGGAGAATGATGAGAGCGACAGCGCAACAGAGAAGAGACAATCAGACGCCTGTGAGGGGCTCTCTGGCCGGAACATGGCTGGCAGCGGCAGCGGGCGCGATACTGACAGTTCAGTGAGCGATGTGAGGGTGCCAATTGCAGGAGGGATGGGCCCTGCAAGGTTGTTGCCACTGAGAAACCTGCAAGGAGGGTAGCAAAAAGGTCACAATGGACCGCACTAAGCGGCTTAACATACAAACGCATACAAGGTTTGCCGGGCCAGTCACTTGAGACAAAAATCAGCAGCATTAGTCTGAGATCGATGTGTGTGTGTGTAGAACGAAGGTGCAAAGGGGCAAGAACGAAGAAGGGCGCCTACAGAATGCGCAGGTTGGCAAGGTTGGCGATGGCACTAGGAATGGGCCCCACCAGTTGGTTATAGCTCAAATCCCTGGTGAGGTGAGGGCAATCGCGCGCGCGTGAAAGAGGTAGATCGGGAGGGACAGAGAGGGGCACGGAGGGGCACGTGTAGTCAATATGCTGTGCTCTGACTGGCTTCACTTTTGTTTCAGCCGTGCCGCCTCTACCTTGAGCCCACTTGGGCAGGTGATGCACCCAAAGACGATGAGAGAGGGCGAGAGATGGCGGACGCTTGCGCAATAAACGGACCGCTTACGACGGTGAAAGGAGGGTCCGAGACAGGAAGGAAAGGGATCCACGAGTTTGAACCAGTCAATGCAACACACATCCGCGGTCGTTTGCGGACGGTAGACGCCGTCCACCACTGGACGGTGGAAGGTGGACGGTGGACGCCGTGTGGACGGTGGGCAGTGGACGGTGGGCGTTGGACAGTGGACGGAGGGTGGTGGACGGTGGACGGTGGGCACGGGCCGGGGGACGGTGGGCGCTGTCCACCGGTGGGCGGTAGGCACTGGACGGTGGACGGTGGACGGTGGGCGGTGGACGCCGTCCATCGGTGGGCAGTACACGGTGGACGCCGTCGACCGGTGGCCGGGGGACGGTTGACGGTGGACGATGGACGGTGGGCAGTGGGCGGTGGACGGTGGACGCCGTCCACCGGTGGGTAGTGGGCGGTGGGCGGTGGACAGTGGACGGTGGACGGTGGACGCCGGCCACCGGTGGGCGGTGCGGTGGACACTGGACGCTGGACGCCGTCCACCAGTGGGTGGTGGACTGTGGACGGTGGACGGTGGACGGTGGACGCCGTCCACCGATGGGCGGTGGACGGTGGACGGTTGGCGGTGGACGGTGGGCGCCGTCCGGCGGTGGACGGTGGACAGTGGACGACGTCCACCGGTGGACGGTGGACGGTGGGCGGTGGGCGGTGGACGCCGTCCACCGGTGGGCGGTGGACGGTGGACGGTGGACGCCGTCCACCGGTGGATGGTGGACGGTGGATGGTGGACATTGGACGGTGGACGCCGTGTGGACGGTGCACGCCGTCCACTGGCGGACAGTGGACGGTGGACGGTGGGCGGTGGATGGTGGTGGGCTGTGAACGGTGGATGGTGGACGGTGGACGGTGGACGGTGGAAGGTGGACGGTGGACGTGGACGGTGGACGGTGGACGGTAGACGGTAGACGGTGAACGGTGGATAGTGGACGCCTTCCACCGGTGGACAGTGGGCGGTGGATGGTGGACGGTGGATGTCGTGCACAGGTGGACGGTGGACGGTTAACAGTGGACGGTTGACGGTGGACGGTGGAGGGTGGAGGGTGGGGGGTGGAGGGTGGAGGGTGGAGGGTAGACGGTGGACGTGGACGGTCGACGGTGGACGGTGGACGCCGTCCACCGGTGGGCGGTGGGCGGTGGGCGGTGGGCGGTTGACGGTGGACAGTGGACGGTGGACGGTGGACGCCGTCCACCGGTGGGCGGTGGACGGTGGACGTTCGACGGTGGGCGGTGGACGGTGGGCGATGGACGGTGGGCGGTGGGCGGTGGACGCCGTCCACCGGTGGGCGGTGGACGGTGGATGGTGGGCGGTGGACGGTGGGCGCCGTCCGCCGGTGGGCGGTGGTCGGTGGACGACGTCCACCGGTGGATGGTGGACGGTGGACGGAGGATGGTGGACGCCGTCCACGGGTGGACGGTGGACGGTGGATGGTGGACAGTGGACGGTGGACGGTGGACGACATCCACCGGCGGACAATGGACGGTGGATGGTGGGCGGTGGATGGTGGACGCCATCCACCGGTGGACGGCGGTGGGCAGTGAAAGGTGGACGGTCGCCGTCCACCGGTGGACGGTGGACGGTGGGCAGTGGGCGGTAGACGGTGGACGGTGGGCGGTAGACGGTGGACAGTGGGCGGTGGACGGTGGGCAGTGAACGGTGGACGGTGGGCGGTGGACGGTGAGCAGTGAACGGTGGACGGTGGGCGGTGGACGATGGACGGTGGGCAGTGGACGGTGGGCGGTGGACGCCGTCCACCGGTGGGCAGTGGGCGGTGGGCGGTGGACGGTGGACGCCGGCCACCGGTGGGCGGTGGACGCGGACCACCGGTGGGTGGTGGACGTTGACCACCGGTGGGCGGTGGACGCGGACCACCAGTGGGCGGTGGACGGTGGACGCTGGACGCTGAACGCCGTCCACCAGTGGGAAGTGGACGGTGGACGGTGGACGCCGTCCACCGGTGGGCTGTGGGCGGTGGGCTGTGGACGGTGGACGCCAGCCACCGGTGGGCGGTGGACGGTGGACGCCGGCCACCGGTGGGCGGTGGACGGTGGACGGTGGGCGCCGTCCGGTGGTGGACAGTGGATGGTGGACGACAACCACCAGTGGACGGTGGGCAGTGGGCGGTGGACGCCGTCCACTGGAGGGCGATGGGCGGTGGACGGTGGACGGTGGGCGCCGTCCGCCCGTGGGCGGTGGACGGTGGACGACGTCCACCGGTGGATGGTGGACGGTGGACGGAGGATGGTGGACGCCGTCCACCGGTGGACGATGGGCGGTGGACGGTGGACGACGTCCACCGCTGGATGGTGGACGGTGGACGGAGGACGGTGGACGCCGTCCACCGGTGGACGGTGGACGGTGGCCGGTGGACGGTGTACGGTGGACACCGTCCACCGTCTGGCGGACAGTGGACGGTGGACGGTGGGCGGTGGATGGTGGACGCCATCCACCGGTGGACGGCGGTGGGCAGTGAAAAGTGGACAGTTGCCGTCCACTGGTGGACGGTGGACGGTGGACGGTGGACGGTGGGCAGTGGATGGTGGACGATGGACGGTGTACGGTGGACGGTGGACAGGGGGCGGTGGACGGTGGACGGTGGGCGGTGGACGGTGGACGGTGAGCAGTGAACGGTGGACGGTGGGCGCTGGACGATGGACGATGGGCAGTGGACGGTGGGCGGTGGACGCCGTCCACCGGTGGGCGGTGGGCGGTGGGCGGTGGACGGTGGACGGTGGGCAGTGGATGGTGGACGATGGACGGTGTACGGTGGACGGTGGACAGGGGGCGGTGGACGGTGGACGGTGGGCGGTGGACGGTGGACGGTGAGCAGTGAACGGTGGACGGTGGGCGGTGGACGATGGACGATGGGCAGTGGACGGTGGGCGGTGGACGCCGTCCACCGGTGGGCGGTGGGCGGTGGGCGGTGGACGGTGGACGGTGAGCAGTGGATGGTGGACGATGGACGGTGTACGGTGGACGGTGGACAGTGGGCGGTGGACGGTGGGCGGTGGACGGTGGACGGTGGACGGTGGACGGTGAGCAGTGAACGGTGGACGGTGGGCGGTGGACGATGGACGGTGGGCAGTGGACGGTGGGCGGTGGGCGGTGGGCTGTGGACGGCGGACGGCGGACGCCGGCCACCAGTGGGCAGTGGGCGGTGGGCGGTGGGCGGTGGACGCTGGACGCTGGACGCCGTCCACAAGTGGGAGGTGGACGGTGGACTGTGGACGGTGGACGGTGGGCGGTGGACGGTGGGCGGTGGAAGGTGGACGGTGGATGGTGGATGGTGGACGGTGGGCGGTGGGCGGGTATGTTGCCATAAACGCGTTTGGCGAATATACGCTAATTGCTTGGACTCGGGCTTTCATACGCTAGGTGTACGCTAGCACGGGCAGGCTAAAATGTTTACCCGGGCAGGAAAAAAAGAAGCCTACACCGACTTTCTGCGTGACTCCTACCTCCTTACCAAAAACCCTGAAGTATTTGTACAGCTAGTGTGTACTATCAGGTTCGTGTGTCGTCGACGATGTGGACGCAATAGCCTCGCGCACCCGCATCACTAAAGGTGGTCGACATTATCGTACTGCGATAACTTAATTAACAACACGACGGGTAGACTATGTGGCGGAGTCGCTAGGAGAATTGCGCTGACTACGCGATGGCATTTCTACTAAGGTTGACGCAAATGACGGGGGGAAGGGAGAGAGTGGAGAGAGGAGGATTTGTAAGTGAACGTTGGGTTTTCTAGATATAGGGGAGTTCAGTGTGGTGAAGGGGAGGGAAATTTGTTGGACCACTTCGACCTCCCTGGTCGAGAAACCGCGGAAAAAAAAAACTCCTGATTTTTTTGTCGGGCTGCCCCGAAAATTTTACCTGAGCGTATAGCGTATCTGCCTGCGTTTAGCGTCTGCGTATACACGCTAGCGCATATACGCTAGACGCTTCCCTAAAAAACGTTTATGGCAACATAGGTGGACGGTGGGCGGTGGACGATGGGCGGTGGACGGTGGGCGGTGGATGGTGGACGATGGACGGTGGACGGTGGTCGCCGTGTGGATGGTGGACGGTGGACGGTGGGCAGTGGACGGTAGACGCCGTCCACCGGCGGACGAGGGACGGTGGACGCTGGATGGTGGACGATGGACGTTGGACGGTGGACGGTGGACGGTGGGCGGTGGGCGGTGGATGGTGGACGGCGGTGGGCAGTGGGCGGTGAACGGTGGACGGTAGACGGTGGATGGTGGACGGTGGACGGTGGACGGTGGGCGGTGGAAGGTGGACGGTGGACGGTGGACGGTTGACGGTGGGCGGTGGGCGGTGGACGGTGAATGGTGGACGCCGTCCACCGGTGGACGATGGACGTGGACGGTGGACGTGGACGGTGGACAGTGCGGTGGACGGTGAACGCCGTCCACCGGTGGACGGTGGACAGTGGGCGGTGGACGGTGGACAGTGGACGGTGGACGGTGAACAGTGGACGGTTGACGGTTGATGGTTGACAGTGGACAGTGGATGGTGGATGGTGGACGGTGGACGGTGGACGTGGACGGTGGACGGTGGACGTGGACAGTGGACGGTGGACGGTGAATTGTGGACGGTGGACGGTGGACGCCGTACACCGGTGGACGGTGGGCGGTGGGCGGTGGACGGTGGACCGTGGACGTCGTCCACTGGTGGGCGGTGGACGGTGGACAGCGGGCGGTGGGCGGTGGAAAGTGGACAGTGGACAATGGACGGTGGACGGTGAACGGTGGACGGTGCACGGTGGACGCCCTCCACCGGTGGGCGGTGGATGGTGGACGGTGGGCGGTGGACGGTGGACGGTGGGCGGTTGATGGTAGACGGTGGACGCCGTCCACCGGTGGATGGTGGACGGTGGACGGTGGGCGGTGGACGGTGGGCGGTGGACGGTGGGCGTTGGACGGTGGACGGTGGATGGTGAATGGTGGACGGTGGACGCCGTCCACCAGTGGGCGGTGGACGGTGGACGCCGTCCACCAGTGGACGGTTGACGGTGGGCGGTGGATGGTAGACAGTGGAAGGTGGGCGGTGGACGGTGGACGGTGGACGGTGGACGGTGGACGTGGACAGTGGACGGTGGACGGTGAATCGTGGACGGTGGACGGTGGACGCCGTACACCGGTGGGCGGTGGGCGGTGGACCGTGGACGTTGTCCACTGGTGGGGGGTGGCCGGTGGACGGTGGACGGCGGGCGGTGGGCCGTGGAAAGTGGACGGTGGACGGTGGACGTGGACGGTGGACGGGCGGTGGGCGGTGGATGGTGGGCGGTGGACGGTGGGCGTTGGACGGTGGACGCGGATGGTGGACGGTGGACGCCGTCCACCAGTGGGCGGGTGGACGGTGGGCACCGGTGGACGGTGGGCACCGGTGGGCGGTGGAGGGTGGACAGTGGAGGGTGGGTGGTGGACGGTGGAGGGTGGACGGTGGAGGGTGGGCGATGGACGGCGGACGGTGCATGCCGTTCACCGGTGGGCGGTGGACGGTTGACAGTTGATGGTAGGCGGTGGACGGTGGACGGTGGATGGTGGACGGTGGACGTGGACAGGGGACGGTGGACGGTCAATCGTGGACGGTGGACGCCATACACCGGTGGACAGTGGGCAGTGGGCGGTGGACCGTGGACGCCGTCCACCGGTGGGCGGTGGGCGGTGGATGGTGGACGGCGGGCGGTGGGCGGTGAACAGTGGACGGTGGATTGTGTACGGTTGACACTGTCCACCGGTGGACGGTGGACGGTGGACGGTGGACGTGGATGGTGGACGGTGGGCGGTGGACGGTAGGCGCCGTGCGCCGGTGGGCGGTGGGCTGTGGACGGTGGATGACGTGCACCGATGGACGGTGGACGGTGCACGGTGGGCGGTGGACGGTGGACGCTGTCCACTGGTTGGCAGTGGACGGTCGACGGTGGACGGTGGGCGGTGGACAGTGGGCGCCGTCTGCTGGTGGGCGGTGGACGGTGGACGGTGGACGCCGTCCACCGGTGGACGCTGGATGGTGGACGCTGGACGCTGGACGCTGGATGCTTGACGGAGGACAGTGGACGGTGGACGGTGGGCGGTGTCCATCGGTGGACGGTAGACGGTAGACGGTGGGCGGTGGGCAGTGGACGGTGGACGGTGGAAGGTCGCCATCCACCTGTGGATGGTGGACGGTGGACGGTGGACGATGTACGGTGGGCGGTGGACGGTGGGAGGTGGACGGTGGACAGTGGACGGTGGGCGGTGGACGTCGTCCACCGGTGGGCGGTGGATGGTGGACGGTGGATGGTGTACGGTGGACGCTGTCCACCGGTGGATGGTGGATGGTGGACGGTGGACGCCGTCCACCGGTGGGCGGTGGACGGTGGAGGGTGGACGGTGGACAGTGGACGGTGGACGCTGGCCACCAGTGGGCGGTGGGCGGTGGGCGGTGGACGCTGGACGCTGGACGCCGTCCACCGGTGGGAGGTGGACGGTGGACGGTGGATCGTGGGCGGTGGATGGTGGACGGTGGATGGTGGATGGTGGATGGTGGATGGTGGATGGTGGATGGTGGACGGTGGACGGTGGACGCCGTCCACCGGTGGGCGGTGGACGGTGGAGGGTGGATGCTGTCCACCGGTGGGCGGTGGACGGTGGACAGTGGACGGTGGACGGTGGACGCTGGCCACCAGTGGGCGGTGGGCGGTGGACGGTGGACAGTGGACGCCGTCCACCGGTGGAGGGTGGACGGTAGACGGTGGGCAGTGGATGGTGGACGCCGTCCACCGGTGGGCGGTGGACGGTGGACGCCGTCCACCGGTGGAGGGTGGACGGTAGACGGTGGGCGGTGGATGGTGGACGCTGTCCACCGGTGGGCGGTGGACGGTGGACGCCGTCCACCGGTCGACAGTGGACGGCGGATGGTGGACAGTGGACGGTGGACGCCCTCCATTGGTGTTCGGTGGATGGTGGACGGAGGACGGTGGACGGTGGGCGGTGGACGGTGGGCGGTGTCCACACGTGGACGGTGGATGGTGGACGGTGGACGGTGGACGCCGTCCACCGGTGGGCGGTGGGCGGTGGACGCTGGACGCCGTCCACTGGTGGACGGTGGATGGTGGACGTCGTCCAGCGGTGGACGGTGGAGGGTTGACGGTGGACGGTGGGCGGTGGGTGGTGCCGTGGAAAGGGGGAAGGTGCACATGAGATGCAGGGCAAGGGTTCGATGGGTGAGGGGAGGCGTACAGATGGGAGAGAGCAGTGAGGTTGCCGAGAGCTGGCGGAATGATGTTGGACAGGTTGTTGGCACTCAGACTCCTGCACAAACGCACGCACGCACAGCATGGGCAGTTAACGACAGTGGCATTGTTTGATTTGAGTAGTGGTGGTGGCAGCACATGGCAACAACGTGCCAGGCCTTGCACGCATGGAGAGAGAAAAGGCCATACACAGTGCGTCAGGGGGTAAGGGTAATGCCCCACACACACAGACACACCAGCAAGACACGTGGCACATGGCACATAGCAAGCAGCACATGGAGCAGCATGTGCATGTGCATCAGCATGAGCATCCCAGCACCAGCCCCCTTCGCCGCTAGCCCCTCTCGGTGCGCCTGGCACGTGAGCATGGGCTCACAGGAATTCGAGGTTGCTCAGCGATCCCAGTGCAGCAGGAATGGACCCCGCTAGCTTCCTGCCCGTCCCCAGGGACCCCAGGTTGCTGCCAGGGGTGGCGCAGTGAGGGGAGGGCGGAAAGAACGGCGAGAAGGGAGAGGGAGGATAATCTTGGTCAGAGGTGCGACAGTGGCATAGCTTCAGATTACACGGCTGATTTTTCAGCATCCCAGTCCCCCCCCCCCTACCAAACCCCCTTCCAAGCCCAGACAGGCAGACAGAGCAGCCCTTATTCCTTCCCTCGGGAATCCCAGCTTTCCACCCACCACACCCCCATGGCGCCCTGCCACGCCATACCATCTCCTTCAACCAACCCCCCCATTCCGCCTCACCCCGCCCTCCCGAGCATCCAACACACCATCCCGCCAACATCTCCCCCCACACCTCCCCCTCCTCACATGGCGGTGACCATGCCCGCGCCATCGCACTGCAGCCACACCCCATCGGCGCTGCAGTTGCTCCCCACGCGCCACCCCTCCAGACTCTGCGCGCCCCACGCCAACACGCACTCCTCCAACACCGCCGCTAGGGGGAACAGGGGGAGGCGGGGGGGAGGGGACGATGAGGGGAAGGAAGACGCGGGGGAAGAAATGCGGGGGAGGGAGTGAGACTCGCGAAGGGTGTGAACAGAGACGTGAGGGGAGGTTTGGCGGAGGGAATTAGCTGCAGGGGCGGGGGAAGAGGAAGAGTCGGAGAGAGTGCGTGGCGGAAGTGCCACATTACCTTGCGAGTCGGCGATGGTTTGAGCCACGGCGGAGACAGCAGCGGCGCGACCAGGCAAGCTAGCAGGCACGAGGACACAGTAGAAGAGAAGGGCGATGGCAGGAGGGCATTGCAGCGCCACGCTCCTCCCACGATGGCGCGATACACGGTGCGGGGGAGAATGGCTCCGCCTGGTGCGGTGGGGCGGAGGGGACGGTGTCACAGACGGCATTTGCGGCAAGCGCAGCGAGTGACGCGCAAGGCGGCGGGGACACGGCATGCCAGTGGCGGGCGGGAAAGCTTTTTCCGCGTACGGGTGTCGGGAGCGGTGGGGGAATGCGCGGCGAGGGGGAATTCGCGCGATGGAAGAGGAGCAGAAGGCGGCGCACGGTGTGACATGCGCGTCGGCAGAAGGTAGGCACGTCCGACGTGGAAGAGCAGTCTGGGGGGAAAGAGAATTGTTGTACTGTAGTAGGGGCGACGAGGCGAGCGCACATGAATTTGTGTTGAGTGAAAGAACCAGGTGCTGTGGTGGGGAGGAGGTGAGTGAAGGCTGGCGGTGGGGTGACTTGGCCGATTGGGTGGAGCGGCGAAAGCACGCTTGGCATGATGGGTGGTTGAAGGGCAGAATCTAGAAATACGCGCAACGCAACTAGCCTGCCTGCCCGGCACACGATTCCACCACAGTTGGTAATTCTAGTAATAAAATGGACATTTATCCTACGACGTTAGGACAATCTTGCCGATTTGGGTTATTAAATTATTAAAGAACAGTTGCTCAGATGTAAGCATGAAAACACCTGCAGCTGTGCCAACAAATGGCCCATGCGATTTGAAGGCCAGCAGCATGCAAGTACCAGCGTGCTCTCACTGACACCGCCCCCATGCCTACAGTACAGTACAGTGACACCGCTCCCATGCCATACACCGTATGTCTCAGACACATGCATGGCAGGCCCTCCACTCTACTCCCCGTCCTCATCATCATAGTCATCATCATCACTCCTACCCTCCCACCCACCATCTCCCCTGCCACCCCATCCCTGTGCCCGCTGCCCCACATGCATGGTCACTGCTTGAGCCACTGCAACCTCCCCATCATCCTCATCCATATCCGCTGCTTCCCCCTCCCCCTCCACTCCCCACCTCTCCCCAACCTCTTCCACATACCTATCCTCCTCCTCTCTGCACTGCTCCTTGTCTTCGCCATACAGGTCGCCAGACCCCTCGTTGCTGCTACAGTATAGCTCCAACCCGCCCTGCTCCTCCTCCACATACGTCCCCGCGTCCCAATCCCCCATCTGCTCCCCTCTCCCTGCTTCCAGCGGAACTTGGGCCATGTAGCACCAGTCTGAACCGCTTCTATTCCTGTTGCTGCCTGTTCTTCGACCATGCATGGCCTGTCCCCCATGCATGTCCTGTCCCCCATGCATGTCCTGTCCCCCATGCATGCCCTGTCCCCTATGCATGTCATTCGCCCCTCGAACGTTTCTCCCAGTCCCCAGGGTCCCGCCTCCAACTTCCACCACCTCCCACTCCCCCTCCTCCTCCGCCTCCTCCTCCCCCTCTCGCCCTGCCTCCCCATCATGCCGCCACTGCAGCCCTTCTCCCCCTGGCTTCTCGCTTGCTTCACCTCGCGTGCCGGCTGAGCCCCCCCCCTGCCCTTGCATGCTGCCCCACCCCATGCTGCCTCGCTCTGACCACCCATACTGCGATCCATGGGGCGACGGAAACCGAGCCAGCTCAGGGGCATGGGCAGATGCATACCCCTGTGCATGTGCATATATCACCCCATCGCTGCAAGGAGACACGAGAGCGGTCCCTCCTCCCCCTGCTCCTCCCCCTACTCTGCCACCACCATGGTCTCTGCCCACACCTCTCGCCCCTCCTCGATCCGTCACAACCCTGTACCCTGTCTCATACGACTGGGCGCGGCGCAGTGGTCTCTTGCCCCGCGTTGACCTGCCAGATCCTCCTCCTCCTCCTCCCCGCCCACCATCTCTGTCTGCCGCGCTTGCATCACTGCCTCTGCTCTGCAGCATGGCCTGAGGCTGATGCCAGCGAAGACACGGCTGGCGCTGCTGCTGCAGCGGGTGAGAGAAGAGGGCAGGAGGGGGTGTATCAGAGCCCGGGGCCAGGACGCCTTGGAATGGCTGTGCCACAGGGGCCCCACTCGTGCTGCTCTGAGCAACGTGGCTCATGCCTGCTGCCACCCGCGCTCCTGCCACTGCTGCTCCTGCTGCCAGAGCCCGTGCTGCGGCTGGTCCTGTGCTAAGAAACTCTCCTTCTGCTGCTGCTGGTACAGGGGGAAGGGCGGGCTGCAGCTGATATGGCTGCTCCAAGGGGGGAACGGAGAGCGTGGGGAGGACAGGGTTTGGCAAGGGCAGGGCATTAGCAGCGAACACCACAGGCAGTGCTTGCCCCGGAGTAAGTCCGTGCGCCTGCATATGTGCCTGAACCTGTACCTGTGCTTGTGCCTGTGCCTGTACTTGTGCGTTCAGCTGCATCTGCTGCTGTATCTGCGCCTGCAGCTGTGACAGCTGCTGCTGCTGCAGCTGCAGCTGCTGCAGGGCATGTGACTGGAGCGTCTGCTGCTGCATCAGCTGTGCAGGGAACTGAACCACTGGCGCCTGCTGCTCTGCCTGCGGCGTATATTGCACCTGTGGTTGTGCTTGCATGAGTGACTGAGTCTGCTGCTCCTGCAGTGTCTGCAGAGATTGCAGCTGCTGTGGCAGTGCCTGACGCTGCATCTCCCTCTGCCCTGCCGTGCCTCTGCTCACCCAACTGCCCACGGACCTCACCTCCCACGTTTCCCCCTTCTCCTCCTCCCCCTCCCCCTCGTCCTCGTCCTCGTCTCCCCGCGCCTCACTCCTGAGCTTCTCCATGATCCTCATCGCCTGCGCCATCTTCTGCTCCCCCTTCCCCTCCTTCTCCTCTCTCCGCCTCTCCCTCTGCTCCGCCTCTTTCTGCTGCTTCCGCGACCCCGCATTCCCCCCACCGTTGCCCGCAGCTGCCGCCTTCCCTCCTGCTCTACCTGCTCGCGCGGAGCGGGGCGTCGTGGCAGTAAGCGGCGCATCACGCGGCGGAGGCGCAGGCAAGGGGGAGGTCCAGGAGGAAGTCGACCGCGGGGACAACGCGCTGCTGGGCGCACCTGGCGCGGCGCCCCGAGGTGCGCGCGGGGAAGGGGGGATGGCAGCGGGCGCGCCTCTTCTGGGCGGGTCCTTGAAGGAGCGGGAGCGCGGCGACGAGCACGCGCGCACGGGGCTAGGACCGGGGCGATCAGTGAAGGAGCGCGAGGCGTGCGGGCTCTTGAGCGCCCATGGCGGACTCACGTCTTGACGGGAACGCGGAGTGGGGAGCCCTCTGGTGGAGCGGGGGGTGGGCGCTAGCGGCACGGCGCGGCCCCTTGCTTCTCCCGCGCCTCTGGGAGCGCTCGCCCCTGGTGCTCGGCGTGGTCGGCTGAGCGGTCCTGACAGCGTCTTGGCCTTGTCCAAGCGCGGCTCTGGTTCTGCCGCCCTGCTGCTCCTGCTCCTCTCCTCCACAACCTCCCACTCCCCGCCGTCTTCCTCCCGCTGCCCCTCCGTTTCCCACTCTTCCCTTCTGTGCACTGTTGCTCTCCGCGGGAACGAGCTTTCTCCCTGCCCGCTTTTCCCGCCCTTTTCCCCGCCTCTGCTTCCGCCAGCAGTCCACGTCATGTTGCGCTCAAAACTGGGACCGTTATTGTCATCCCCAACGTCGAAGGAAAACGAGCTAGGACTCTCGCTACGCATACTCTCTCCTCCTCCCCTTCCACTCCTACCTCCCCCCCCTCCATCTCCTCTGCCTGCACCGGGAGCGTCCCTCATTCCTCGCTCCTTACTACCCGGCCCACCTGTTTCGGCACCCACGCCACCCGTTTTTTTCCCACTGGTCGCCGTCGTAGCGCCAGGGGGAGCATTCACTTCTTCCCGGCCCGGAATGATCACCACCATTTGCTCAAACCGCCGGCCCTTGCGCTGCTTCCCTACAACCGCCCGACCCCCCTCCTTGTTTCCTTGGCGTGATGACGTGGAAGGCGCGGATTTGCCCTGCGGGCCTGGCGGTTGCTCTGCTGCTTCCCGTGCTACTCCCTCCGAACCAGCCGTTGTCTCCCCCTCCTCCGCTCTCGCCGCTGCGCTCATGCGCCTTCCGCCTCTCCCCGCTTCGCCCCCCACCTCAGCATCGGCGCGCCTAGCACCCAAGTCGTCATTCGCGCGCAACGGCGCGAACGATACGCGCAGGGAGCCGCGGGGTGTGTGGGCGATGGCGGAGCCATGGCCACTCGCGGTGCCGTCGGTAGGGGCGGTGTTCGTCGGCGCCATGGCTGACGGCGGAGACAGGAAACCGCCATCGTCGGCACCGTCGGCACCGCCGGTCGTCATGTCTAGCGACGTCGACATTGGCGGCCCATCGCCGCCACTGCCACCGTCGGCCGGGATGCTACGGAACGCGACGGCGGCGTTGCAGGCGCCAGTGCCGGGGGAACTGCTGCTGCTGGTGCTGCTGTGGTGAATAATGGTGGCGGGGTACGGGGACTCAAGATCGGTGCAATCGGGATCACACCCCGGATTGCACGGCGCTGCTGCTGTCGCGCTGTCGGGCGCGGATTCCTCGTGTGCCGTGCATTTTACTGCCAAGGGTAGGGATCCGATACTATCGTTGCTAAGAGTGCGGCCGCTTCTGGTAACGCTGCATCCCCTGAAAATGCCTTGAGCGAAGCGTGCCATGCTGTAACCGTTTCCGCCGCGAATGACGTCGCTGATCTCGTGCGGCATGGGCACGACGGGGCTCTCCCTCGTGTCACTACGCCGACACTGCTCGTGTAGCACTCGTGGCTGAGTGTCCGCTGCTGCTACCGACTCCACTGCAGTTTCTGGCGTAGTTGCGGACAGTTTCCAGTGTTGCAACGAAGCCGGGAGAGTCGAGCTACGAGCTACTTCTGTCTTGGGAGGCACCGATCTGTCGGTAGCGCGCGACGACTTGGCTGTGCTCCCAGCGTTACTGCGAGAGGGACGCCAGAGAAGGGAGAGCTTGGGCACGAGTGGGGACATCTTGAAAGGTGGCGTATGGGGAGACGGGATCACTGGAGGGGAGCGTACTATCTAGGGAGTGGCATCGAGTGTTAAATGTCCAAGCATCGGCTTAGACTAGTACGATCCCCCATGCAGACTCGCATGCAGTATGGTTTCCCTCAGTAGGTTAGCGAAGGGTGAGTTCTTATGACAAATGGGGTTAGCAAATGCGTACGCACTTTTGCTCAGCGATTAATCTGTGTTGGGTTTCAAGGCTTCCCAGTACAAAGGGTGCCCGACTTTGGAACACCTTGTTTACGAGTCGCGCTAGATGAATGTGGATGGGATTATTGATCGGGGGGTGCATTTTGGGACAGAATCGGGCTGGACATTTTGCGGACATCATGTGTAACTGGGGGAAATGGCCGAGAGAACCTGGATGGCTAGATCGTTCACAGTTTCTCGCATTGTAAAAGCTCGGATTGGCATGTGCCACTGTGCAGGGAAGTGGATGGCAACAAGGAGGCTTTGTTTGGTAGGCAGGGCGGACGGTTCAAGGGTAAACATCCGGAATGTCAGGTACATTCCGGGTGTTTTGTCCGGACTGTTTCCGCACGTTTTTCTCCTAGACCCGGAGCTTCCCGTATGGGTCCGGAAACTACCCTGACAAAAAGCGAATTGTGACAGGCGCCCTTCAGCTGCTACTTTAAGCCTCCCCAATTATATGGTTCTCCCACCCTCAAAGCAGGTTGTGCCTGGTTCGATTCGCTACATGTGACCCTTCGTGGTGTGCAGGCATTAGTTGTCCACATAGTTTTAGGTTTATATTCTCCGCGCCAAACCTTCTGCCTGTGTACTGGGAAACATGCAGCTCTCAGGGGTATCCTGAAAAATAGTGGAATTTTCCAAGGAATGCTGATTTTTCAAGGTCTTTTGCGAGGCGAGTCATCTGCCTTCCAGGTCCCATAAAACGAAAAATAGCCCTGGGCGGAATACAGTGCGCATTCTGCCAAATCTTCCCTACTGGAACAGTGCCGAGGGAATATAAAAGAGATTGGTGCGATACAGTCGAACGCGACAGAGTCCCACAAGATTTCAGGGTGCTGGGGATTCAATCGGGCACCCATTTCTCTGGCCCTCGCCACGGGCACAGGTGGTTTTCGCACGAGCAAGACAGTAACTGATTTGGCGGTAGTGGTGTGGGCTTGTGTGGCGACGTCTGGGGTACTTGTTCCTGAACAGTAATGCTGTTCATTGTCGTGATCACATAAGTTTATCGCATAGTTCGACACTCTAATCGCCGCAGTACAGTACATGAAACATTAGCAACCCGCGCACACCGAACAGGGACCAGGCAGAAGAAACACTTCAGAGCACCAACACCACTTCTGTCCAACTCCATCCAACTCTCCAACGAAATTACACAGCAAGAGATAGCAGGAACATATGACATATGAAACACCAGCGCGAACACAAAAAATCAGAGGGAACGTACGTTCCCTTTTCACTCTTGACATTTAAGAACCATTGCAGCCATTCCAGAAGATAGCACTCACGCGCCACATCTCAAATGTGACGCATCCACTCCGCGGATGGCGGGAAGCCATCCATCACGGCGTCCACGCCGTGGCGGATGAGCTCAGCGCGGCGTTCCGAGTCCACGATGGAGGCGAGCAGGACGCGCCCCACCCAAGGAGGCGGCGCGTTCAAGTCGGGGAGGGGGCTGGCACGCTGCAGCCGCTCGATGACCACCGGGTTCCTTATGTCAAAGAGAACTCGGAGGTCACAAGGGGAAATGTTGGTCGCGCGTGCATAGCCGACCAACATCTCCGTGGCCGCCCGTGCAGCCCGACACGCCGCGCGATCCCCCGCGTCGCCGAAGCTCCCCATGTCCTCGCGGGGAGGCGAGCCCCAAGCGCTTGGGGGGGGGGGGGGGGGGGGGGGGCACGCGGGGCTCGCGGGCAAGAGGGTTCTCCCCCGGTGCCGTGCAAGTAGGGAGGGAATCGTCGATGGCGACAAACTGATCCGCTGCCATCGCGCACGGGCCGAGGGCGAGGGACTCAATCTGCAGCCCCACTTCCGCGATCTCGGCCGCGACGGTGTTCTCGGGGTCCTCGACCTCCTCCTCCTCGTCGACTTCGACGGCGGCGAGAGTGTTGAACGGGAGCGCTGGCAGCGGCACATGCTCCATCTCCGCCGCCCACTCCTCGGGGAGGCAGCCCGTGCCACCAGCAGCGCTGGATAGTGCAGGCGCCCACACTGAGGCAGGCGTTGTAGAGCCATTCGACAACATGCCTCATGTTTGGACGCCATCGGAACATGCGGCGGGCGGCATCGAACTCCCCCCATACTCGGACCAATTCCGTCAGCCACATGCTACGATAGCGAGCCTTGACCATGACAATGATGCCTGGGTCGAGTGACTGGGTGAAGGCCGTCGTGTTGGGCGGGAGATAGACGAGGCGGAGGTGGCTGAGGCTTCGAGTGCGGAATCCGAAAAGATCCCTCGTCACGGCGTCGGGCGATTGGAGCGTATGGGAGGAGGCGTTGTCGACTAGCACTATCACGCGACGACCCTCCGCAAACATCGCCGCGTTCAGCTTCTCCATGAAGTGCGTGAAAAGCTAGACGCGCCGGATGGGACGGGATAAACGGAGAAAGAACGAGAAGGGCAGGGAAAATGTGAAGGGAGGATAGAGGGGGGGCCGGACGATATGCTTGGGTAGGGTGTAATGGCGCGTATCATAAATGCGGAAAACGAAGAGCATAGCAGATGTGTGTTTAACGTACTGCGCTCGTCATCCATCCGCGATCATTGCTACGCCAGTAGCAATAAGACGACAGGTCATAGTTTGGGCGGAAGTCGGCCGGGCGACGCGTCTTGCTCACGATGAAGGGACGCCAAACCGTGCTGCCATCCGCGTTATACAGCATTCCGACGGCAAGAAGCTCCTTAGCTTGCTTGCGCCCAGGCCAGTAGCGTCGACTCCAACTCTTCTTCGGCACTACCGAGATGAATAGGCACGTTTCGTCGAAGTTCAAAACGTCGCGGGGGGGTCATTCGGTAATGGCGGAGAAGTGCCGGCAGCTGGGATTTGCACATCATGACTACGCCCAAATCAGCATCTGCCACCTCGCCGTGCTGCATCATGCAGCGGATATTGAGACGACGGAGAGCGCGGCGGACCCACCCGAGCGACACCTTGAAGGTGTTGGGTTTGTTCAGCGCCCTCGCCATAATCATGGCATTGGCTTGAATGGTTTGCAGGGTGAGAGGGACTCCGGCAGGCACGGCGCTCTCGATCCAGCGATAGGGAAGCGCCTCAAGGTTCGGGTGACGACCTTGGCAGATGCGGCGTGAGGCACCAATCGCGTTGTCGGTGTCCCAACGGGCGACGTCATTCAGAATCTTCCCCACCGTGGAGCGGTCGGGGAGGAGACCGAAACGGGTGTACTACCATCTCGCCAAGTCCTCCTGGCGGAGGTGGGGATAAATGGTGTGATGCGCGCATATTGCGCGCTTCACCTCTAGCGTCACTTGCGCTCGAATTTGAATGCGCGGCATAGTGGCGTGGCGGTGAGGAGTGAGAGATGGAGGTGCGAGTGATTTAAATCTCTGGAATTGTGCCTCTTTCATACCACTCGCGTCCCTCTTTACAGGGCGAGCCGCGCTGTTGGAGGGGTTGGTGTTGGAATTGTACATGTACCTTTGGTGCGTGTTCAATCGACGAATGCGAAACGAGTTCAGCGACAGTGCCTACGGGTAGCGAGAAAAACACGCGTACTTTTTGTAATGCCTGGTTAGCTAAGTGACGTAGATTACCGTGACGAGAGGTAGGGGCCCATCGAATTTGGGGTCAAGTACTGTCATCAGCCACGTCACTCCACACTAATCGTGCGGCGCATTTTCAACCCCAGGAGGGTGTGCGTCGTGCTGTAAGTTTCACTCTTAGGTTTCAAATGAGGCGTTTACGAAAGATCTGCGCCGTAACTGCGACAACAATGCACTGTCACGTGGGGAAAAAAATGCCACTATGGACGGGTTGTCCTACGCTGCACGATGGTCACCGACGTCATCATGACAGGGCACTGTGCATATAAGACGGGACACTAACGGATATCACATTGCCCGTATATCGGGGGTTTAGGGATGTGGTTCTGATTGGGCAACGAGCTGAGCAGCGATAAGGGTGGACATCAACTGTAGTCGTTGACCTCAAACCCGAGGCGCGACAACAGAACGCGATCCCAAGCCTACAAAGTCGCTTAGTTACCCTGTGTTAAATTTCTGCGCTTTCAAGCACGAGTGAGTTTCTCTGGTGTAGCACAAGAGTGGTGGTTGGCGGGTGAGATGTTGAGTGAGTTTCTTTGGTTTGGTTTGCTCCCTTTTATACTCAGTGAAATGTAGTGAGGGTTTGGAGTCGCATTTCAGTTCCATGTGTTAGGGGCATGCTCTAAAGACTTATGACATTACGAATTGAAGGTGCGTGTCGCAAAAATAACTGTTGCGTAAATTGTGGGAATTTGTTTTCGAGCTTGTTCCTTGGTTGGTTGTCGGATGTTGAGAACGACCCCTGGCATCGGGTCATCGCGACTCCATTTCGCTGCCAAGTCAGCGTTCAGTTTCATGCGGCGATGCTCAAGCCACAAACAAACCCAGCAAGGCGTGCGCACCTTTGCGAGCTCAACGAGAGGCTCGCTGAGCTTCGCCGGAGCGCTATTCTGAGCGGGGCTGGAAGTTTGTGGCAAAAACGGTTGCGGCACACATCTTTCGTCTTGTGCCGCATGTTCGTCACCGCTGTCATGATGACGCTGCACTGCTGGCTCTGTTCACGGCCCACGTTGAGTGGGCCGTTGCCCGTGTGCCAACGCTAATGGGCGATGGTTTCTGATTGGGCCACGTATTGAGCTAGGCCTTAGGTGTGCACCCTGTGTATGCACATTCCAAACCAGCCCATTGGAGGGCAAGGTCCCACTTGTGGGCATCAAGGAGAGTTGCTACAGTTTATTCGGTTTCTTTTTCACAATACAGCTCTAACATTCGGCACGGCCGCTTTCCTGAATCACCCTTTATGTTATGGACCCTGAAAGTGTGGAGTCATAGGATAGTAAACTGTGGGGCCATTCAGGGTATTCTGACGTGCAGTCTTGTTTGCAGTTTGGCGGAAAACATGCAGGAAGTTGGAACTCCTGTACGTTTTCCCGTTGGTGAACTGCTCTCTCGAGGTATAGATGCAAAAGTATCTACAATTACTATCACTCAACAAATCCCCTACTTAGAGGAGACAGGTTGCAATTGGAAGAGGTTAGCACTTTCCGTAGGAACAATGTTTCGTCTGCAAAATGCAGTGTGCACCGTTCATGAAGGGCGAGGCGGCCTCGGCTCTTCGGCGCCTGGGCGCTCATTGGTCAGGGGGGTCAGTGAGTGACCCTGACACGCCACGCCTGCCACAGTCCCACCAAAACCAACAGATGGAATGTCTCACATGATCACATCTTGTGCAATACCGCTGTATTTCACCCCTAGTATTTTCACTCGCCGTTTTCGCCGAGGGTTGTCACTCTCGGGGAGCATGACCTGAGGGGCCGGTTTAGAGACTCCTGGAAAAACATCGAGCTTGGATATCTAGCCGTCCAATGTTTACAGCGTGCAATCGTATCCGACCCTACCGGCCCATTGTCTCAAGCCTTTGTGAACACGGGAATCCAGTCTGAGGACTCAGAAAAGGTCAGGGTGCTCTTGAAACTATATACGCCATCTAATTTCACGCGGTGAAATTGACTGGGCCAGGTGTACTGTACAGTAAAGAATTTTACGCCACAGTCGCATGGATCCTGGGAGCAGGCTGCGTGACAACAGTTCGATTCAACCAGCTCCGCTGGGATCGAGCAGTTACTTACTCGAGCACAATAATGATACAGCGGGTATGCTCTACACCTTGAGCCTGACAGAGAAACACAACTTTTCAGGGTGCCGGTAGACAAAAACGCGCAGGGGTTTCGCACAGCATCGTCACGGGCATGTGGGCCTTTCGCACGGGCATGAAGGTTACCATTTTGATGTTTTGCGGGGTAGGTTTGAGTGGCATATTTTGGCGAGCCATTGTTCACCTAGTTACCCTGTGTTAAGTTTTGACGCTTTCAAGCTTGAGTGAGTTTCTCTGGTGTAGCACCAGAGTGGTGGTTGGCGGTTGAGATGTTGAGTGAGTTTCTCTGGTTTGGTTTGCTCCCTTTTATACTCAGTGAAATATGGCGAGGGTTGGAGTCGTATTTCAGTTCCAAATGTTAGGGGCGTGTTCTAAAGATTTCTTACATTACGAATTGAAGGTTCGTGTCGCAACAATAATTGTTGCGCGAATTGTGGAAATTCGTTTTACGAGTCTGTTTCTAGGTTGGCTGTCGGATGTTGAGAACGACCCCTGGCATCGGGGCATCGCGACTCCATTTCGCTGCCAAGTCAGCATTCGATTTCATGCGGCGATGCTCAAGCCATAAACAAACCCAGCGAGGTGTACGCACCTTTGCGAGCTCAACGAAAGGCTCGCTGAGCTTTGCCGGAGAACTATTCCGAGCGCGACTGGAAGTTTGTGGCGAAAAGGGTTGCGGCGCACATCTTTCGTCTTGTGCTGCATGTTTGTCACCGCTGTCATGATAACGCTGCACTGTTGGCTCTGTTCACGGCCCACGTTGAGTGGGCCGTTGCCCGTGTCTAACCGTGTGAAGAACTCACTAATTCTGATTGTCTATAGCGTTCCACTGACCGTACGCAATAGCGGGGACCCTAATACTGAGCGAGGATGTACTTTCCCTTCTTATGACATGTACATGTCAGATACACCACCAAAGCTAAAATGCCAGGTCAGGTGCGTCGAGCTCACACGTGTTCACAGAACTTTCGAAATGCTGACGTATGGCCTTCCCAGAGATTGCCGTGTCACTCCCGTGATGTTTGCTCGACGTGCCGCGTCAGCCACCACAAGAACGGGAGACCTTTAGTTCGAGTGGTGCAGGAGGAGGTTGTAGTTTTCTAAGTTGTCCACCAAGATTGCCGAACTCCAGACAACGCACATCGCGGTTCCCGTGTAACCTGCTTTCAGATTCTGCTCGACTATGTCGTCTGTCTCTCTCATACTCACCTCGCCCGCTTTACGCGGGGTCGCGTCCCTCGCCGCCAGCAGCAGCATCAATCGCAGCAACCTCGTTCTGCAATCCGGGCTGCTTGGAACGAAGCTGCGATCGCGTGACCAGCGGGTAGCATTCGCGCGGCAAGCCGTGAAGCGGACGCACGTGGTGGTAGCGACGCAGGTCATCACGCAACCACGGGGCGACTTCATCTCCTCCATTGTCGACTTTCTCCGTCGGCTCATCCCTGACGCCAGGCAGGACGAGCCATCAGCAGACGCTCCCCCTGAGGAGGAAGGCCCCATGGAGGGACGACGGAGAGTGATGGTTGTGGGCGGCACGGGGCGCGTGGGGCGGCATATTGTGTCGCAACTGGTGGCGGAGGGGTACTCCGTGGTGGCGCTGGTGGGCAGCGAGGAGCGCGCGGCGAAGGTGAGCGGAGGGGGTCACTGCGAGCTGTGAGCGGAACGCCATCGGGCTATAAACTAGCGGAAATCGCTGCTTTTATCCGAGAGGAGAAACGGAGAACCAGAGGCGAGCAGGAAGTCCATCCATTTATCCGCAATAGCGTACTTCAACTGGATTCGAGCCGAAAACTGTGTGTATGTGTGTGCGTGCGTGTGCGTGTGTGCGCGCGTGTGCGTGTGCGTGTGCGTGTGCGTGTGCGTGTGCGTGTGCGCCAGATCCTGGGCAAGGAGCAGGGCCTTCAGGTGCAGCCATTGGCGGAGGGCGAGGGCGTGGCGGAAGCACGGCCGGGGAAGGTGCACGTGGTGCTGGGCGACATCAACGACAGCGACTCGGTGCAGCGCGCGTTACGAGGCGCGGACGCCGTGGTGTGCGCGGTGGGCATCCGGGTCAAGTCGCGCACTGATGAGGGCGGATTCCCCGGATACGAGATCGGGTCGACCCCTGAGGTAAGCATGATGCGGAATTCGTGCTGCTTACACGCATGCTTAAGGCGGGAGTATGAAGCAGAGCGTGGTGAGGGGAGTGCGCGTACGAACATGCTCCGCTTGCTTCTCCCCCCCCTCTGCGCTCCGTCCCCTTGTTGGATCAGCGCGCCCATCCGCTCGCCTTTCCCTCCCCCCTTCGTCCCCCTCCACCCCCATCTCTCCCCCTTTTCCCCTTTCCCCCGCGCTATCTTGCGCGTCCCCCCCCAGGACGTGTACGGCAAGGGCGTGCCCGCCCTGATCCGCGCAGCAGAAAAGGCGTTCGGAGGGGGGGAGAGCGAGGGGGCGGAGAGAGAGGGCGAGGATTTTATGCTCTTCGACTTCCGAACGCTCTCCGCCGCTCCTGCTGCTGCCGCTGCTGATGGCGAGGAGGAGGGAGCGGGCGCAGAGCAGCCGGGGGCGCGGGTGTACGTGGACGGGTGGGGGCGGTTCGACGATGTGATCATGGGCGGCATCTCGGAGAGCGTGCTGCGCCCCGATGACGGTGAGCCATGCCGGGATGATTTGGTCAGGCCGATGTTGGCGAGGATTGCAGGAGCGGAAGCGAGTGTGTGGCGTGACGGGTGGGCTTAGGGAGGGAGGGTAGAGGGAGGATGCTCTCTGGATGTGATTCAGGAAAGGAATGAGTGTAACCCAGTCGCCAGAAGAGCAAGAAAACGCCCCACTAGAATGTGGCTAGTCCGTGCTCGTAATGATTATCGTTGACCCCCTCAGTGCACATTGTGCTGTCCCACGCTCTCCCATGCGTGCGTCTGTGCGGCTGCGGCAGGCAAGGCTGTGTTCGAGGGCACATTGCGAGTGGAGGGCGGTGGCTTCTGCGCCTCCAGGTGACGCCCCTCGCCCCACCACATGCGCTCGCTTCCCTGCCCTCCGCTCCTGCTCTTTGCCCTGCTGCCGCTTTTGTTGTCAGCACCCGCCCACCTGACCCCCCCTCCCCCTCCCCCCCTCCTCCCCTGCCGCCATTCGTTCTCGTTCTCGTGTCATGTCTTCATGGCCCCGTCCTCCGCGCCTTGCTGCCTCCTCTGACCCGCTCACTCCCGCACGCCCCTGTGTGTCTCCCTCCCCACCAGGACGTCCTTCCCCTCGCCTCTGGACCTCTCGGCCTTCGACGGGCTGCACCTGCGAGTCAAGGGCGACGGCCGACGTTACAAGCTCAACCTCAGAGACGAGGTGCGTCCGCCACTGCTGCCAGTGCTGCTGCCGCTGCCCCTGCCTGTGGGGGGGAGGGCCCCTCTCAAACCTTGCCCCTTCTCCGCTGCCCTATTGCCATTGTTCAACTTACCTCCCCCTCAGCCCTCTCCTCCCTCCTCAACCTCGCCTCTCGCCCGATAAGTTTCTGAATTTGCCACTAGCACTTGGCCTCTCTTGCCCTTCTCCCACACCCCTCTCTCCATGCCCCCTCCCCCCCCCCCAACCCCCACCCCCCTGCGCGGTGCAGAAGTCGCAGGGCGAGTTCCAGTACCAGGCGAGCTTTGACACGCTCAACGGCCAGTGGCTCGACGCATTCATCCCCTTCTCACAGTACGTTCGCTCCCATTCACCACGCGCCACACATGGCATCCATCTCCCGGCACATCACTTGCTGTGTCGCATGCGCTACGCTCAACCCCCTGGTTTCCTGCCACCATGTGGTGTCGCTCCACCGCTGCTTCTAACGCGCCTCGTGCTCCCACGCTTGTCCAATGCTCCCCTCTGTTCCTGCCTCGCCCCACGACCCAGGTTCAGGGCAGTGGAGCGCTCGCGCTCTGTGCTGGACAGCCCGCCCATCAACGCAAAGAAGATCCGCACGGTCAGATGCTAAGTCTTGCCACCCTGCACATGCTCCTGGGTTGCTGCATGATTGCTGCACGAGTCCTGAACTTGAGCAGTCTAGGGGCTGCTCCTAATGCCTGAAAACAGTCTTGGCTTGTGCACGGTGTGGGAAAGGTAGGATGGATGAGTCGGTAGAACCGATGCCTGCCTTTTGAGTCGTTTTTGCTCTAGTGTTTGCTCTTGAACCCCCTATGCCCGCACGTCCTCCCCCGTGTGCTGCCTCGTTCACCCCCCCATCAGCTGGGCATCGTGTACAGCCGCTTCCAGTGCGACGGCTTCCCTAACCCTCTCTGCCTCCCTGGAGACTTCTCCCTTGAGGTGCGTTGCCATGCTGTGCTGCGCCATTCTGGCTCCCATGACTTGAGTGAACCCGGCCGCTGCTGGCCCGCACAACATTCGTCCTACCTGTTCTGGGGATGCACTTAAAGACATGCACACACTCGCACAATCGAACACACAAACACGAGCACCAGATGGAGAGTCTATTGCGCCCCCTTGTTTGGTCCTGGCCGTCCTTCTGCTCCCTTGTGCGAGTCACTCCTCTCCCCCCCCTCCCCCCCGGTGCCCCGGGTCCCTCCAGATCGCCTCCATCTCAGCGTACCGCGCCAGTCGCCCGCAGGTGGTGCTGGTGAGCAGTGCGGCGGTGCAGCGCAGTGCGCGTGCCGTGACCCCCGAGGAGAGGAGCAAGTCCATCCCCATCGTGCAGCTCAACCCAGGTCAGCCAGGCAACGCCACAGAGAGCACGCCCTTTCATCTAAGAGAACCTTCGTGCTCTCCCTGTGCGTGTTGCATTTTCTCACTCTCGACATTTCCATCCTCACACTCTCCCCTCTTCACCCCCCCCCCCAATACCCCCCTTACCCCCCCTCCATGGTGCTGCATGTGGGCAGGTGGGGTGCTGTCGTGGAAGCTGAGCTGCGAGGATGCGGTGCGTGCCAGTGGGCTGCGGTACACAGTGGTGCGACCCACGGGGCTGCTGGGGACCACTGAGGCCAAGGCCGACACCGTCAACACGCCCCACCTCCTCGAGGTACCGTCCCACCTGCCTCACGCTTGAACCATGAAAAGTTGTGCACATTCCATGAATGCTTACGCACACATCCGCCACCATCCCCAGTGCTGTAATTTGTGACTTTTTCCACTGGTTGCCCACTCCTTACCCCCCTCTGTCCCCCGTGTCTGCCCTGTGCGCTATGGCAGTCGGGCCAAGGTGACGTGCTGACGGGCCTTATCTCATGCCCTGAGGCTGCAGCTGTCTGTGTCAAGGCACTTGACGCTCCTGATGCTGTCAACACCACGTTCGAGGTATGCTCTCTCTCCCATTGCTGCTGCCTTTCCTTGCTGCAACCTTGTTGCATGGATTCCCCTGGCCCACATCTCACATTGCATTCCACCGACTGTTTGCACTCACCTGACCGTGATCCCTCCCGCTCCTCACACGTTGCTCCTCCGTGGCACCAGGTGCGGCGGGACGAGCTGACTGCAGGACTGTCCATGGAGGGGCGGCACTGGGCGGACCTGTTCGGGCGCTTGAGGCCAGACGTGCGCAATGGCCGCGTGCAATACCCCGCTGTTCCCAAGGCCATGTCCGATGCCTTCAAAGGGTAGCCACTGACTAGCCACTTGATGAATCACACACGTCGCAAGTTGCTTGTAAAGTGAACTACTCTACTATGCTCCCGTGGAGAAGCTTCGTTGTGCTTGTGCCACACAGCTGTCTGCAAGAATCCTTTCAGCCAGCATGATTTCTTACCATATGTATGTGCAGACGAGACTGTACCCAATGCAGCTTGGCACCTTTAGACGAATCCAACGCTGAATAGCATTGAGTGCTAGAACCACATGGAAGTGCCAATCGATGGACTGTCATTGGGTGTGGGGGAGGCAAGGGATTGAGAAATGGCTCAGAAGGCACCATAGTAGGTTTTCTAGTATGGCATCACTATTTTGTGTCGTTAGAACCAATCCTAGAGCCTCAATCTGTTCTTTCTAGATACTTCTTAATATCATGTAACGTTTTTCAAAACCTTGATCTGGTGTAGTTTCTTCAACCTTCCAACATATCTCAAGGAAGATTGATTCGACCGAGACATCAGTTGGCCCTTGCCTGCTACAGTCAGTGGTTGGACAGAGTGGATCTGGCTGGCAGAGATTCCTTTTTGCGGCGTGGATGAAATGCCTGCACCTGCACCCACCGAGGCAGCCACCCCACGCATCAGAAAGAACATTGACACCCAAAATTCCAGGAGGTGCTCTCTTGTTTTCTTCATGACAGCCCAGGGTTGGTTTGGATCACACTTCCCCTAACGCTGGTTGCCCATTCGCTGACGTGGCGGAAGAAGCGGTCACCTTCCCCCGATCCCTGCGTTTGAGATTATGTAGAGGAGCGACCTTCCAATGGTTAATTTGTTTATTTCTCTCCCTGCCCTCGAGGGAAGAACGATATTTTTTCTCAGCAGTACCGACCAATGGACACACCCCTTCCGTCGTGTATTGTCTTTTATTTTGACAGTGTTTGCTGGTCCAGAGGAAAGCACTGTAGTTTGCGGTAACCTTTCGGTTTTCCCGCGCGGTTTTGGCTGGATGATTCCCGGGAGGAAGGCCCATTTTGATGGCTGAGGAAGCAAAACATTCCCCCAAAGAATGAAACCCAATCTGGCGCGCGTCAGTCCTGTCCACCATGGGCTGCGCAAATGCGTACAGGTTCTGTAGTTTTGGCGCGCTGTGAACGCGCGGAACCTGGACGAGCGGGTGGGTGGGTGATCATCGCGCAAACCCCAACACTTCACCACGGGCTTCCTCGTTTCCTGCCCTAGGATTTCCTTATCTCCTGGCACTGCCATGAATTTCTTCCTTTTGTGTCTCCCCAAGTCAGGGGCTATGGAGCTTCCGTAAGTAAGCCTTGTACCAGTTCCTTGTGGCTCAACTTGTTAGTCACTATGTTCCTCTAGGTTTACCATTACTGAGCAAGACCATGGACGACATCCGTCCTCTCGCCGCTTCCTCTCCCACCCTCTGTCCTCGTGGGCGGGGGGTTTTTTCAGCCAAGGCGGTACTGCAGCCGCCAGCTTTATGATTTCAGTGGGTCGGCTTCGCCCATGGGGCAAGCTTGGGAGGGGTCGGGTGGGATGGGTCCTGGATTCGCCGCTAAGCAGCATCACTGGGCAAACCAGTATCCCCCCACTCTGCAGCAGCAGCAGCAGCAGCAGCAACCTCGGCGGCGGCGGCGGCAGCAGCATCAGCAGCAGCAGCAGCAGTTCCAGGAGCAGCCATCGTATCCGGTCCCGTCAGGCGTTAGCTATGTGCCTGGTAGATCCGATTGCTTGCTAGCTACTGGGCAACCGGCCCCTCCTCAACTACCCACACCCTCCTCCCTGGTCCCTGTCGTCTCCTCTGCGTGTGTCTCTCAGCCTTCTCTTCCTCCTTCAGGTCAATCCCCTCATTGGTCCTCCGCCTTCGTGTCATCTCTCCCTGCGTTCACGTCGTCTCACGATCCTTCCTTCCCTTCTGGAAACCCTAGTTCTTTCGTGTCCTCTCACCTCCTTGCTCCGTCGTGTGTCGCAAGTCAGGTGCCATCTCGTCCCGTGTCAGTTACCTCCTCTGCTTTCGTTCGTTATCGTCGGCCTTCGTCTCTTCGTGAATTACCTCCTTGTCGCGCGAGTCAGGCGGTGACCCCTGCTCTTCGCCTGACCATCGGCCTCCGTTCCTTTTATGGCGGAATAGCGCACGCAGCTGCATCGCGTTCCAAAAGCTTTCTCCAGCAGCAGCAGGAGCAGCAGCAGCAGCAGTCGGTAGCATCAAGGGCAGCTGCTGCACAGTTTTCGGGTTTCGTAGGATCCTCATCGGGAAATAATTTCGTGCATAGCTCAGTCAGTCCTCATCGTGACGTTATAGAAGTGAAAGCGGCTGGTTCTTCTGCAGCAGGTGATCCAATGGCAAACGGTGCTGCTGTCACTGGCACGCCGTGGCACGGCTCCTACGTGGGGTGGTCCGGCAGCAAGCACAGTGACGCAGCCGTTAGTGGTTACATTCCAACAGCAGGCGATGATTCTTCGAGTCCGTATTATCCGGAGTCTGCTGGAGTCAACCAAGATGGTTGTTACGTCCGGTATTCCGACTTCACTCTCCCCGAAGGCCAACTCCACGTTGGTCCGCATCTTCCGCTCCTTGCCGGCCGCTTTCGCTTCCTCCAGTCGCTCTCGGAAGGCGGCTCGGCGCGCGTGTTCGTGGCGGAGGACACGTGGCACCCGTCGCAGAGGACGGTGGTGGTGAAGGCGATGCACCGGCATTACCGCGAGGTGGGCTTGCAGGAGCAGCAGCTGCTCCGCTTCCTCAACACCATCGTGGATCCCGACGACTCCTGCCGCATCGTGCGTCTCCTCGCGGGCTTCGAGTTTCACGGCCACACGTGCCTCGTGCTAGAGCGCCTTCAGGGCAGTCTCCTCGAGCACATGTGCCGCCCTGCCGACTCTCCTGGCTCCGCTGCCGCCGCCGCCTCCGCCGCTTCTGCCGCCGCTTCGGCGGCGAACGTCGCTGTGGTTGCAGTTGCTGCGGCTGGGATGGCGCCGGGTTCGGTCGAGTCGGCGGCAGGAGGGGTGAGCGATCCGGTTGGCGCGGCTGCAGCGGCTGTGTCTGCGGCGGCGAGTGCCGCTGAGGTGGCAGCGGAGGCGGCGGCAGCTCGTCTGGAGGAGATCCGGAGCCTGGCTCACGATCTGATCGTGTCGATCGCTGCGCTGCACGCGTCTGGCATCATCCACGGGGATCTCAAACCGGAAAACATCCTCATGCAGCCCCTCCCTCACCCCCCTTCCCGCCATCGCTCTTCCACCTCCGATCCCTATGTCCGCTATGGCGCGTCTGACTTCTCCCGCTTCCTTTCCACCCCCTCTACCTCTTCTCTTGTCTCCCCCGGCGGTACTGTGCCTGCCGACGCAGCCGCGCCAGGAGCTGGCCACGGCTACTCGCAATACCCTGCATCCCGTGCCCTCCTCTCTGCCTCTGTCGGCGATCTCAATGCGTCGCCCTGGACGGGTGGATTGACGGATTCTCAGGTGCGAGCCGCAGCAACTGCAGCGGAGGGGTCGATGGCGGCAGGAGGGTCTTCAGCGTGGGGCAACGCGCACGAGTCTCGGGTGCCGTCGGGTTACCCTCTGCCTCATATCGGCAGCAGCGGCACTAGCAGCGGCGCTGGCGCTGCGTCGCTGGCTCCGCAGGTGACGGCGAAGATCGCGGATTTCGGCAACTCGTTCACGCCGGAGCAGATCCGCACGCTGTGCCACGACTACAACGTGCAGACTCTGGCGTATCGCGCGCCCGAGGTGCTGCTGGGGGTGCCGTTCTCCGCCGCCATCGACCTCTGGTCGCTGGGCTGCATCCTGGCGGAGCTTGCGACGGGCCAGCTGCTCTTCGCGTGCGAGTCCCCGCAGCACCTGCTGCAGCAGATGGTCGCGCTGCTCGGCGTCGCCCCCCCCGCGTGCCTCTTCGGCTCGGGGAAGTTCTTTCCGAAGCTCACGGCGGCGGCGGGCGTGCCGCGCGTGTGCTGCTGCCGCGCGGAAGGGGGCGGCGGAATGGCTGTGTGCTTCCGCGGATGCAATGGCGGAGGGGGTTGGTATGGCGGGGTTGCGGACGGGTGCAGTGGATACTGCGCGCCGATGGCCTTCAACATCTTCGCTCCAGGGTATGTGTGTTCGTGCATCTCGTTTGTTCATGAAGCGCTAACATCTTACTGCGCTCTCTCTATCTTTCTCAGCGCGAAATCTCCGCTCCCCACCCCCCCCCCCCTTCCCCACCTCCCACCGTGCACTCTAGCTCGAAATTTCTTTCTGCCATCCCGCATGCATCCATATTGTTTCCCGCTCAAACACGCGCTTATTCCCTGCAACCCTGGTTCCCGCGCTTGCCCTCGCCGCTGCACCCCCCGTCCCCGAAATTTCCGCGGGCAGCCACTCGCACCTGGGCGACGCCCTGGCGGCCGTGGACGCGCAGCTGGCGGACCTGGTGGCGGGGCTGCTGCAGTACGACCCGCGCGTGCGACTCTCCGCGCAGCAGGTTCGCGCATGGGAGCGGGTTCAAGGAAAGGGGGAAAGAGTTGGGTTAATTTGGGAGGGGGGAGGGGGAAAGGGGGGGGGGAGAGAGGGGGCTCGATGTACGGACGCGTCTGGGACAAGCTGCACTGTTTCTCAACCGTCTCCGCTCCTCTGTTTTCCTCCCCGTATCCCTTTTTCGTCGCTTCGTTTCAGGCGCTCTCACACCCTTTCCTGAAGCCGCTGCGCTGCTCTTCCTCCTCCTCCTCCCTCTCCTCCAAAGACTTCTCGCACCCTCTCACTCCCTGCACTGTGCTCCCCACGCCCGCTCTCGCCTCCCCTCTCACCCTCTACTCCTATCACCCCAACGTGCACGCGATGTCCGTGCCGTCTCTCCTCCTGCCTCCGTCCTTCACCACCGGTTCCTCCTGGACCCTTTCCACTGCCGACGCTGCTGCTGCTGCCACGCCAGTATTAGCAACAGCGGAAGCGGCAGCGGCTGCGGCGGCGGCAGGAGCAGGGGGTGCTGGTGGGCGCGCAGGAGCTGCTGCTGCGGCGGGGGTGCCGTGCGCAAGCGAGGAGGGCGGCGGTGTGGCTGCGCGTGGTGTTGCGCTGGGAGGAGGCCAGCAGGGGTCGGGTTCCGCGGCGGCACATGGGCTCTGGTCGCTGCAGCAGGCAGCAGCGGTCGCTCAGGCTGGGGCAGCAGCGCCATGCAAGGCATTGCTGCAGCAGCCGCAGCAGCACCAGCAGCAGCAGCAGGAGGAGGGGGAAGGGCATGGGCAGGGGCATGTTTCACCGTGGGGCAGTGTGATGGATGGTTTGGGAACGGAAATGAGGAACGGTGCAGGCGGCGAGGCAAACGGTCTGTATGCAGCAGCGTCAGCTGCAGCGATGGCGGACGCAGCAGCAGCGGCAGGGATGGGTGCAGGGGCGAATGAGAACACCAGTGGAGGGCACGGGTGGTGGAGTGAGGGCTTGGGCGGAGGCCCTTGGTTTGGGGCACAGCAGGGTTCCGGCACTGACGCTGATGCCAGCCCCGCTGCTGCTGCATCTGCAGCCATGGCGTCAGCTGCTGCTGCGGCTGCAGTGTCCGCGGCCTCTGCTGGCGCAGCGGCAGCGGCTGCAGTGGCAGCGAATGCGGAGGCTCAGGCGTTGCAGCAAGCCATGTCGAGCAGTGCAGCAGCGGCCGCAATGATGAGTTGCTACGGGTACGGGATTGCGGAGATCCAGGAAGGTGCGTACTTGCAGGGCGGAGCGGCGTACACGCCTGAGGGCGTGTTTCTCCCGCACTCGCACATCGTTCCTCTGACGCCGGACCACCTCTCGCTGGGCACTGCGGCGCCCTCCACGGCAGAACAGGTTCACACTTACTACATGGGCTTCACACCTGGCCGTGCTGGCTGCGGCGCACCCGGCAACCCCAAGGGCCTCGTGTTTGAGCCTCTGAGTCCCATGCCAGGCCGCGGTGGGGCGGGCGGGGTGGGTGAGCGGGAATCACGTGGGCTAGTGGGCGTGGCGAGCACCGAGCTGCTGTTGGCGCCGCTCACTCCCAGCCAAACCAGGGAGGGACACGTGGTGGGGTGGGAGAGCGTGACGGCAGCTGGCAGGAAGGCGGGAGGGGGTGGTGCCAGGGGTGTTGGAGCAGGGGCAGGGGCAGGGGCTGGGGTTGGAGCTGGGGAATGTACGGGTGTAGGTACGGGGGCGGGATCAGGAGCAGAAATGGGTTCGGGGATGAGCTATGGTGAGCAGATGTATGAGGTGTATGAGGCGCAGCAGATGGGTGCACAGCAGTACGCGGCAGGTGGTTATGAGGGACAGCAGCAGCAACAGCATCAGCATCAGCTGCAGCAGCAGTATCTCCAATACCTGCAGCAGGGGGAATACCAACAGCAAGTCGAGTACCAGCAGCAGCAGCAGCAGCAGCAGCAGGAGGAGAGGGAACAGCAGCACACTGGGCTTATGGGATACGCCCATGGAGCATGTGGCATCAACAGCAACGCCGGGGATAGCTGGATGAATCAGGGAGCAACTTTTGTGGGAGAGGCGGGAACAGCAAGGGCATATGGCGAGGAGGGCAAGTGGGTGGGGGGGAGGATGGGGGGCGCATGTGGAGTGGAGTACAGCGAGGCGCCGTGGCTTGTTGCACATGGCGCCATGGGAGCCTGCACGCCGGCGACTGTCAGGTATGTCATGAAGGCAGGGAGAGGGAGGGGTGGGGGGTGGGGGGGGGGGGGGGGGGGAGGAAGGATGGCGATGATACTATTCTGTTCAGGCTGCTTTGATGCCGTTTGGATTGGATTGGGTTTGAATTGAACGTCCATTGTATGGTTGTGAGGTGGTGCTGGGGGGTGAGGAGAGCACAGTGGGGTGCACAGTGAGGGCTGGCTGATCATTATGCTCAATTAGCTTTCTCTTCTTGTTCCCTCACTGTGCCTTGGGTGCAGGCTTGGCTGGTGAAGTCACAAGCACTGCAACGGCAGCAGAGCTGAAGCAGTTTGGGCTGTGGGGAAACAAGAACAGAAGTGGAAGAGTCAGGAGAAGGCACGATAAGGCGCTGCTGCGTTATGTGGTCCTTCCTAGGCATCCACTCCACTGTCCTCGATTCATCTCGCATCACCCTGTTGTTTTGACATGGCTGTATTGGGGTTTCTGGCCCTTTTTCATATTTCCGCTACATGTCTGCTGCAAGTGAACCTTGTAACCATTTGCTGATTTCATTGTTAGTCAGCAGCATCCGCACTCTCTTCCTTGCCCATTCTGACCGTAGTTGCTCTACCACCGCCACTGCTTGACTTGCCTGGTTTGTTCAATTCTGCTGCTGTTGAGAGCTAAGCTAGCTAGGCATGGGAGTGGCGAGAGGTTTTTATCAGAATGAGAGAAGTGAATGATCATTAGAGGGAGAGTCTCAGAGTACAGATGGATATACCTAAGTATTGTACCCTCTAAGAGGTGACCCTATACAGTCTATGCAAACATAACAGATACACATGTTTGACACACCCCCTAGACTGCATAGGGGAATGACCTGAACAAGCAGCTCAGGGCGGCACTACTAGTCCAGCCTCTGAGACAAGGGTCTAAAAGACCAGTCAGAAGGAGTTGAGACAAGGCAAGAACAAGACCAGGGCGTCGACGTAAACAAGGATGTAGAACGGAGTCTGGCCAGCACGAACGAAGAGTGAGGGGTTTGCGGAAGACGGAAAGAACTGCAGGTCAGCAAGCGTAGCACGGAGAGTGTCGTGCCACTCACAGGGAGCCTGGCGCAGGCCGTAGACGGGGCGCCACAGGAGCCACTGGGTCCCAGGAGGGAAGGTGCCAGTAAAGCCCTGAGGGCGACGCAAGTAGACCTGCTCGTGTAGGCTGCCCTGAAGGAAGGCAGTGGAGAAGTCGAGGGAGTGAAGCTCGTAGTCACGCTGAGCAGCTAGGTGTAACAGAACCCGAAGAGTAGTCATCTTCGGGGTCGGGGCGAAGGTCTGGAAGAAGTCCACCCCCTCACGCTGACTGAAGCCTCTAGCCACGTAGCGCGCCTTGAACACAGGCGGCTCTCCAGGAGGGCGCTTCACCTTGAAGAGCCAGCGGCCATCGACTACGTTCACCCCAGGCGGGGGAACTGCGTCGACGAAGGTGCCGGTGGATCTCCAAGATGCCATCTCCTGCTCCATGGCAGCTATCCACTGAGAGGCCCAAGGTCCCGAGGTCGCCTCAACGTAAGTGCGAGGGGTCGGGATGTCGAAAGCGTCTGGGTCACCCTCAGGGACTAGCAGCATGGAACAGAGATGGGGAGCAACCTCGGACAGGAAAGCAAGCTCGAACTGGCGGTCCTCCAGGACGTCACTGCCAAGGGCAGGAGCACCCCCGACAGACCGAGGACAGGCAGGGTCAGAGACCAGAGCGGTGGCGTAGTCAAGGCGGCGGGTAGAGGCGAAGTCAGCGACCGCAGCAACAAGAGCGTCAAGGCACGAGACCAGAACAGACGGGTCGGTAACGAGAAAGGCAAGGACCCGAGGAACAAGAGGACGAGCGGCACGAATGTAGTCAGACAGCGGGGGGGGTGCAACAACAAGGGAGGACGGAGGAGGCGACGGGAGAAGGGGAGGACGAGACGCGTGGGAACGAAGCAACATAGGGTGGGAGCGCAAGACAGGCGAGGCAGGACGAGCACGGGAGGGACGGTGAGACCAGACGTGCGACGGAGGAGTCGGGTCAGGAGACAGGGGAGGGGACACAGGGGGGGAACGAGGAGGAAGACGGGCCGGGGACGAGTCCGGCGGAGGGAACACAGGGCCGTAGACGGGAAGAGGAGGAGACGGCAGGAGAGGAACAGCCGCAGGGTTAGGGGACGGAAGGCCGAGCAGGCGAAGGGCTGACACCGGCGGGGACTGCTGCTGCGGCGGCACAACGGCGACACCGGGACTGTAAGCGGCTCCTCGGCTACCACCGGCACACTCCACACCAGCACCCCTAGAGGATCCACCCCCAGGGCTACCGGGACTAGCACCCCCAGAGTCAACGAACGGGTGCTGCGACGGCGGCGGCAGCAACAACGACGGCTGCAGCGGCGGCAGAGGCGGTGGAGGAGGGGACTGGGGAGGGGACGCCGGGGGAAGGGCGGCCGGCGAGGACTGCGCAGCAGGGCCACCAGAGTTAGAAGACTCCTCAACCGGGTCCACTGACGGAAGGGGGGTGACGTGGGACACACCAGAGGGGGCAGGACGGGGAGGAGGAGGGGGAGGGGCAGGGACTACCGGGGAAGGAGTGACCAGGAACAGGGGGGGGGTAACTGGGGGACCGCGGTGGGGGAAGCGACGGTAGTAGGAGA